CTCCACAAATTCCACCTGCCAAGAAGTCATGTAAGTGGTCCGGTGCGGCTATAAAATCAGGAGGAGTGCTACCGCGACATTCCTCCGCATGTGTAACCATCTTTAGTTAGTTAGAACTAAAGTAGAGGTTACTACAAATATTGATATAGATACTTTAGTGTGCACTAGTCATAGCTGTCACGTCAACAATCCGCGCACTTGGTAGGTACACAGTGGATGTGTTAGTTGACAGTGCCACGTCAGCAATCCGTGTGCTTGTAGGTAAGGATTGAATGTGTTAGTTGGGAGCTGTAAGACCGGGTGTTGCACATATGTACTAAGTCTTAGAAGTGGTCAATGGAATAAGGATGATTAGCCAAGGCATAGCTAAGACTAGCTAGTTATGACTAAACTAGTTAGTTATAACTAAGTTTATCTAGTCATGACTAAGTTTAGCTACAATGTCTATAGTTGGCGGAATAATTAACGGAATTCTAGAAGAATGGAGTGAGCACTTCTATTTTGTCTTTTACAAGGAGTGAGCACTTCTATTTTGTCTTATACAAAAGTTCTAGATTCCAAGTGATTAGATATTTGACTAGAAGCTTGGATTTGATTGGTTTGACCAAATGTATGAAAGATGATTGGCTAGACTAAGTCTAATGTTGACTTAGTGGCTAGGAAGCTTGTAGAAGTTTAAAAGCTTCCAATAGCATGTCGCCACCTCAACCTTGGATTCCGGAAGCTTCTAGAAGTTTTAGGTAGGCCAATGGCATGTTGCCACGTAGAGAAGGTTAGTCAAACTTACCTAGGTAAAAGTAAGTTAGGAGAAATTACCACATGTTACTATGGTAACTTCTCAAGTAGTATAAATAGAGAGGTAGAGTAGCACCTCTCAAGCAAGTTTGGAGAGTCATGTGTGAGGACTTGTTTCAGTAATGAAGGAGTGAAGTTTTTGAGTATCTTGGAGTATCGACGTGTGTTTGCGTTTATGTGAAGAGAGTGATGTGAGTAGAGTTTGTGTATGAGTTGGAGTGATACATGGAGAGTTTGTGAGAGAAGGTGTTTGGGATATGAGCGAGATAATGAATCCTAGTCTTCTAGAACCATGATGCGCTACCACAAAGCCATCAGAGGTAAACCTGAGTGAGAGTCAGCCCGGAGGTTGCAGAGCGCCACGTCAACAATCCGTGTGCTTGTTAGGGTTATCCGCCAGGTCATCCATCCACTATGAGTGGGATGAATGGTGAGGATTAGATCCTTGTACTTGTTGGTGAGAGCTATATAGAGGAGAGGAGAACTATTGTTGGTATCTCTCATCTTCAGAGTTTACGTTTTTATCTTCGAGTGAACTTCTCTCTAAACCCTAGTGTTACAACATACGATCCTTGTAGTCACGGATCTTGTACCCGTTCTTGCTGGACTTGCTGTTCTTGAAAAGGGCACCGAAGGAAATTTCTTCTTCCTTCGTGACCTGCACACTCTCGCATTCGAAGAGAATGTCGACTTCTTCTCCCGCGCACCTTCCCAAGACTTGTTCCCAATCATTGACCTGCCACCTCTCCGGATGCGGTCGGAAACCGCGCGGAGGTTGGTTCCTCTCCCGCAGCCACTCGCAGATCATCTCCGGGCACACCCAATTGCATCCCTATAGGAGAAAATTGAGCTTCATCGCCGACAGGTCGTTCTGAAATGCGCGCTGTCCAATCTGCGGCACTTTCAGCGGAACCATCTGCAGCTGAGTTGACTTGACCATCTTCTTGCAAGTTCCTGCGCGCTCAATTTCTCCACTGACACGAGCTTCTTGCAACTCCTCTGCACTGTCTCTCTACCCTTCTCGCGCACTCACTCAATCTTTCTGCAAGCTCTCCGCTAACTCTCTGTGTGCGAGCTCGATGTGCGCACTCCAGCAATCTCTCCGTGCAAGTTCTCCTCCAGCGCTCAGCAAATTCTCCACAAGACTCTCGCAAGATTCTACGTCTGCGCACTCTACTACTGCGCACTCCTGCACTCTCGAAAATCAGCACACTCTCCTCACACTTAGAAATCTCTCCGCAAGATCACCGCGGATTACCTTGCTACGCGTCGCGAGCTCCGGCGGATGCGAAATTGAAAATGCGAGAGTGACAGCGAGGGCCAGTTCTTTCCTTCGGCGATCAAGATCGCCCAACGTTCGACACTTGGACTGGCCGCGGCCCGCTTGAATGCGATGCCGGCGCGGAGACGTTTTGGCCCAATTCGCACGCTCGAATTCACACTCCGCCGTTGTGCGCACTCACACGCGCGTACGTTCAATCTTGATTCCGCCAATTTCCGCCGACGCTGTTCTCCGCTCGCGTACCGTCGAAGGCGCACCGCCGAAGGCACTTGCGGCGAAGGTACGGACTTTTGCCGACTCCTTTGTCTTTTCTTTCTCCGCCAAAGACGGAGGAAGACTTCTGCCGACGTTGTTCTTCGCTCGCGTACCGCCGAAGGCGCATCTTTCCAGCAAAGGAGAATCCTAGAGGCGAAGGTCTTTCTTACGCCGAAGGCGAAACCTATCAACGAAGGCAGCGCTAGCGACGAAGGCGCTAGTGCCGAAGGTGTTGGGGCGAAGGAACTTACCGCCGAAGGCGTACCGCCGAAGACGAACAAAATGACGAGGTTGTTTTTCCCTGTGACAAAGGCGCTCGCCGCGCATGCTTCGTACGTCTTCAGCGACAGATCCCCTGGAGGCGTCTGCGCCAAAGGCGCATCGCCAAAGACACCTCACAAAAGGACATGTTGCCAAAGGCGCCAAAGGCCCTCTCCCAAGCAGGAACCGTCTGCTCCGTCCAAGGCGCTGGACCTCGGTCTAAGCCCCCCAACCTCTTAGATTCTCCATGACCCGCGATTCTCCCTTTTTACTCTATTTTATGTACCGATTACTATTTACAGTTGCTGCCGCGGTACTTATTTTCCAAAAATGTTTTAATTCCGACCAAAAACAAAAAGTGGGTTACCACATGTAGCATGATTGATATTAATTATTTGATGATAAAGTATATATATATATATAATATTTCTTTAAGCAACTAAAAGCCAAAATAAGTACTATTATCTTACTACATCATACATAAACTATAGTTGTCACTTTGTTATGTCAAACTTAGCCATTCTTTTATACTCAACATGAAGGTCAAAAGAGTACTAATTGATCGATTTAGCAAGAATAAATTGATTTTGTAAATTTTTTAACGTTATCAATTTACAACACAATTTCAAAGTGTTAATGATATACTTAAAAGATAATTTTAAAGTATGATGTCACTTGTTAAATTGATGCGTTGGACATATGATGAATTTAACTTGAGAAATTTTTTGTAAAGGATCTTTTGAATTTTGAAATCATTAATATTATATTTATGTAAAATTTTTTTACAATTACAAACAATAGCTTGATATGTAGAAAATTCATTAGAAAAAGTTGTTGTGTTATATTTGCAAGAAAATAGAGAGAATGTAAAAACGTATGATGATTGGCCATCAATTTCTAATCAAGTTTGAAATCCACTAGGCCGTAGATGAATATGGTGTCTTGATTTCATCAATTATAGCAAAATTAGCAAGTAGAAGTATAGCTCAATAAAGATCAAATATTAGATTTGTTGCTTCTACTTGATAGGTCAAAGATGATGTTGATTATAAGTTACCAGCATAACAATCATGTGCAATCAATGTGCAATTGTTATGACTTTGAATGCAGCACAAATAATTAAACCAAAAATATGCTTGTAAATCTGATTGATTTACAACCATGCTGAGCAGATTGACCTAAAAATAATTATAGTTCAATCAGTTTAATTACACCAATACATAATAGTATTTGCAATTGAAATACTTTGAAGTATATTTTTAAGGAATATAATCAGCATTATTGTAGATATTTAAACGAATCTATGTATATTTATCAATTTTAGATAATCACAAACCAACACGAACTGTGATTTATTGACCAATAAGACTCATATTAATAAAAAATGACATATTCATACATCAGCTTTTATAAAAAAGAATTTATTTGATAAATTTGATCTATATACTTTAGTGTTGATTGGGTTGAAAATTTCTTGTTTGCTGCCACAAACTGTGTTTTGTCTTGTCTTGCTAAAAATAGGAGATATTTGCTTGATGGGACCCCGTCCAGAAGTAAATTTCTTGATGGGACCCATCAAGTTTCAATTTACCCGATGGGACCCCAACGACGATACACGTCATACTGTTCTAGTGTGAACATACGACGGTGTTCTGCCGAACAAACCGAATAGCTGTCTAGTTTGCAGAAGCGAATGGTGAAGCCTTGTGTACCGTTAGTGCCGAGTGGTTGACTCCAATGTGTTTGAGAGGTGGTGAATAAAATTGATGGGAGCATCGATGTGAAAGGAAGCAGATCTTAAGGATGTATCCAACACATTGACTTTCGGACCGGTTAAGGGTAAAGATAGCTCTGTTTAAAAATCCAGTGGCAAGCCACACAGGTTATTGCAAAAACACAAATTCTAATATATTTGTACAAGAATACATGCCTACAAGAACATCTATTATTACAAGAATGTGTATTAAAACTTATATATACAAGAACATACCTGTACTAGAACTCAGCGACGGCACACCGTCTGTGGGGTCACATCGTGTAAATTGAAACTTGATATGTCCCATCAAGCAATTTACGTTTGGATGGGTCCCATCAAGCAAATACCTTCTAAAAATAGTACATTGTACTACATCATCGCGTTGAATTTTGCATGCTCTGCAGGTTTGTCCTAGTCTCCAACCTGAACTTTACTTCTTAATGTCAAGAGAGCTCTTTGCATTTATCATTCGCGGCTAGGTAACCTAATGCATGATTCTAGTTTGGAACATGCAGCATGATCCGAACTAGAAGACCAAAAGTATATATTTGAAAATGATGTACAATCTCTCCAAAAATAACTAATTTAGCTTAATATGATTAATTTGAGATAATTACACTAAGAAAACGATCGATTAATTTCAAGAGATTTTCAAAACAAATTTAAAAATCCATTTATCATCGAAATCATTGACTAAATATTAATATTTGATTTCTGTGACTTTAGAGTAACTTTAATTTGGTATACTAAATGTCAAGTTAAAATCCTGAAAAAAATTTGGATAAAAGAAAAATATTTTTTATAATGATTTATAATGATTCATTGAATATTTGCACAAGGTATTTGAAAGATGGCTTTCTCATATGTCAATATGCATCTTGAAAATTGTAAAAAGTTTTAGCAGTTGTAGAGTATTCTAATCAAATCACATATCAAAAGTATTGACATTTCGGAAAATCGAGTGGGTGGATTTTAAATCATCTATAATACTTAGATGTGCTAAGTTAGTGATATATACTTGAACTTGATATCTTAAATCTGTGTTATGTAAAAGTGTTTGACACTATTCTCAACTACTTGGCAAAGCTAATAACGCAAGATGAAGAGTGGCGTTTGGATGTAATTACAGGAAACTTTGGTTGCCGTCAAGTCAAGCTTATTACAGTATTTGCCATTATTTTGAGTCTATGAGAAATTTTATATCCCTCATCTACAAGTTTGATTGGTGTACACTGGATTTGGTAGCAGCTCTTACTCAACACCGTAATAAGAAGAAAAGATAGTAATGATAAGTAGTAGCTTATGCATGTCACTTCAAAAATGCAATAGTTTCATTATATAATTCTTATAAAAATAAATATTTAGCATCGGATTTAGTTGTAGCACATTAAAGATGTTATGTGATTTGAAACACCTGATTTCAAGTCACATAACAAGGTAACTAGACCCCTAAACACATCTGTCCTTGTTTTTTATCATCAATCATTCAAATGGTAGATGCACTCAGGCAAGTTGAATGATAGTTTGCACGATGGCCTCTTCTTCAAATAATTTACACTTTCACGACTGATTTGAAGATTTCTTCATGGAGTTGTGGATTATAATGCAAATGGATTATTTCAAAACTCATATACAAGTCAGGTTGACAAACTTTGAATTTGATGACGAGATGGAGTAGAGTTCACTGCTTTTGGTTTTTCGAGCATGTTGGCGCTTGAGAGTTTTCTATATCTATCTTAGTTCTTAAAAGTGTATATGTTATGTTCTTTATGGACATTAGGTCGGAGTATATTTTGGTGGAAGATGGACAAATCATGACTACATGATGGAATATGAGCATCCTTGTGCATGTCATTTGAAAGAGTTTTGAAATTTTACAACTAGTCGAGGGAGTGGGATGTCATCTCATCAATCTCGAAGTCGAATAGTGCAGCAGAGAGCTACTCTACCTTGACCATTGATTCAGATATCAAGAACACGCGAATTAGCTGTGGACCAGAGCCCAACAGTCGGTGCCAATGCCCTTGGGTGACATTATTTTTACATGGTGGACACAAGAAATGCTAAGGGCAATGTTTGTCAAGATCCAACCAAGAATTGGTGTAATTTGAATAGCATGGGTGGGCACAGGTAATGCTATGGGTGGGGTTAGGTCGCTTCTGATGGTTATGGTATGGGTGCAGATTTGAAGTTAAATGTTGGCCTCTGATGTGGACCCATCTTGTCGAGGTCTGATTTCTTGGACTTATGCAATCAAGATATATCCCAGTCCAAACTACATTGTGTTCTGCACCTTGTGTCCACCCAAGAAGCATAACAATTGGTTGTCGATGTAAAAAGTGCATTTTGTCGGAGGCAGATTTCCTTACTACCGTCAATTTCACGGATTTGTAACTGGATCCCTGGGATGCAATATATGACTTCCATCTACCGCCAAGTCTCCGCTATTCACGAAAGAAGAATCGTCGCTGGCTAGAAACAGAGCTGCATTAGCTATACAGAAAGGCCCTGCCATGTCTTGTGAGACACTTGTCTATGATAATAAGAGAGGGTATAGGGTTTGTCGATTACAGTCTGAGCGAGCTCGTTCCAAATCGATGTCCTGATCATACCAGGACAAACTCTTTTCGCTCTGATATTGAAGTCCCTGAGCTCCAAAGCTGCAGAGCGAGACAGTCCCAGCAAGGCATGCTTGAAAGTCGTGTAAGCCGTAGGGGACACTGCGACATGAGCAGCCATGCTCGCCGTGGTAATGATGCAACCCGTTTGCATCGGTTTCATAACTCTGGCGGCGTGTTTCACTCCCGTGATTGCCTTTTAAAGAGAATGCAGTAGGAACGAACGAAATCCGCCATAGGAGTTTCATCCAGAGGTCCGCCAGTCCCAAGCACTAATCATTGTTAAACATAACGTGGAGTCCTCCATATGCACTAACGCTCAGATCCACAACCGCTGCAACGCGTTCCTCGTGGCTCACATTGCAATGGATGAAGCGGGCTGTGTCAGGTCCGCCGAGTTCTCGTGCCAACAAATCTCCTGCAGCGTCCTGAATGTCGGCAATGATCACTTTTGCATCGTGTGCCTCAAACGTCTTCACCGTCTCTTATCCAATTCCGCTTCCACCTCCCGTGATCACACAGCCACGTTTCCCTGTGATCTGCACAGCTCACAATCGTTTCTTTCAAGAATTTGCAGACCAGAAGGAAGCCTGCCCATCTATCAGCTATGCCCACGTGTAAATTGAACATCACGCCTCAAGCATGCGAGTGATGCTTATGCAGTTGCGGAGGTGGCTTGTCAATCTTTCGTCTGTATTGACCTTGTCCATCGAATTTCTCAGGTTAGCTGATTGATCTTTTCCAACAGGGGATTGCAGGTGCACACAAATATTTGACGAAATCCGAGAAGGGGCCAAAATCATTTTCAGCGGCGCACAACCCAAGGACCGAAAAGCACATAATGGGATGATTTGGAACACCGAAATTGCCGTGCCGTATTCCGTATGCGACACAATGAGTATCGATCGACGTATAAAGCAGAAGTAAGACATGAACTGCATGATTCTGTCTTCCCTGCTGATGGAGTTCTGTTCGTTTCTTCACAACATCCTGCAATCTCAATCTGTCCATGTCTGGGAATATGAAATTTCATCTTTGTTGACATTCTCTCCAAAAAAACAGATGTTGTCCAGATGATCATCCATCTTCCGCAGACGACTCGGAACCTATCTATCATAAATCAATGCTAGCATGGACCTAATTTAGGCGATCTGTCAGATTTGGAGGCGAGAAACAAACTGAGGGCTCCAGAAACGGCCTTGGCGATAGTAGCCATTTGTCCGACGGGCAGAAATAAGCCAACAATCTGGTCAAAATTTCATGGTGGAATCAGAGTCCAAGTTGAGCTTCCTCAAAGAATATCTGATCTGCCAACATGGGTCCTCTTGAAAGCTAGTCTCTTGTCATCAATCAGAAAAATTCTCTCTACAGCCTCTAACCTCTAAAGCAGTACATGAAGTATTACAGTCCCGGTCATCAACTTATCCAATATACAATATGGGCATGTATGTTATCTGCCTTAACGAATTAATTCGGGGTAATCCGGATTTAATTCGTTAGAGAAAGCATCCCATAAATTTCAAGAGTCATGATTCTTCTGCTTAAGGTATATCAGACTTACGAAAAACCCAAAGGAAGGAAAGAGTCACATTAGTTACTTGTGTGATCTCCAAGGACTTTCGTTGTGAGGCTCACAACGAAAGTCCTTGGGGACTCTTGAGCTCACAATGTGAGCTCAAGAGTTTTAATTTCGTCGCGACAATACTGCCTCTTTGTTAGATGTTATCTATCTCAGATCGCACTAGACAAAAGTCATTCTCCTGAAGCAACACCAATCACGCAACATGAACAAGCCTGTTGATACTATGTCATCAATCTCAGGCTGGACTAGACAAGAGTCATCCCCCTGAATAGCAACAATCACGCAACACGAACAGGCTCGCCTCGTTCTCTGTTCGACAAAGTTCATGTCCTAGACGAGAATATCACACGCTGATAGTGTTATAGAGTTGTCACACAACTTCCAAAGGGCCAATTTGCGTCTATCCTGCCAATTCATATCCATGATATTGACGGGGCAGCACATGCTGTAGAAGACAACGAAACAGAATGGTGGACAACAAGCGCCGTACACATTGCAGTCGATCAGCTTTCGATTCTTCTAGCATGCAGTCAGTCAAAGACGCATACAATACAATACAACAATACACCTCTCCTTCACACGAGGCAAGTAACAAGTCTGTTACTCGTGGAACAGATAGCACCACCATTCAGAACACAACGAGCAGCTGAGTTGACAGCTCTCATATAGACATGTTTCAAGGGTAATACTTTATAATTGTGGTGATTTTTTTTTTATATTATGTCCAAGTAGAACGCATATCTTCTAGGCTAACATGCTCTTATATCTCAATGTTTCGCCTGGTTTCTTATATCTCACGGCTGGTCCAGGGATATGGGGAATTAGTAGTATGAGTGTGGCTGCCACAAAGCCCAAAGAGTAAAATTTCATTCACGAATGCGAATCATCCACTCGCATGTTCAAGGTGCCGAAAATAGAGCCCGAAAACAAGTAATTATGTCACTGAAAAATTAAAAATGGTGGAGAGGTCGACAATCTTAGTTCTGCAAAGTCCAATGGAGGCAAATCTGTATATATATTTGAAGACAAATGTAGATATTTCGACACGATAAAAGTTTTAGACAATTTCATACTGATGGCCAACGTAAATTAGGGAAATACCGTGCCGAGCACACAGGAGTCGAAGTTTCTAGAAGAAAATCCTAAGTGACACAGAATTTTCACAAAATAGACTGTGGCTGTCCTTATGATAACACCGAAGAAGGTTCTCAGTTTGACTTGTCACCCATCTAACTGAGGATGTGTCGATTTATGGACTAATGGATCCATAAACTGTCCAAGCAGAGTTTAAATCGACTTGAACATTCCTTCAGATACCAGTGCAAATGCAGACTTAATATGAAAAGCTCAGATAGGGTGCTAATATTGTGAAAGGACTTGTCTTCATGGAACGGGATATAGAGCAGCTCATGTCTTGTTTCCAGTAAATGAGGCGTCAATGTGAATTTAGGTAGATTCACACATTCAAAATGCCCTCAGCACATTTTCTCAGCCCTGCCGCTCACATCAAGTTCTTACCATGGATTCAGGCTTAGAATTTCTGTTCGGGAATCTGCGTAGGATTTCAAGAGTACGGACCAACTGCTTCATTCCATATAGGTTGATCTTGGGCTTGTTCTCAATCCAGCAAATTCACGTCACACTTTGTTTCCTGCGTATCCATTTACTTTCTTTTACGTCTATTAAGCAGGGATCGAACTCTGATCGGACTCTCATTTTCTGCAATAAGGTACATAACTGACCACGACATACGACTCAGTCCGGATTTGTTTGTTCATCGACATCATAACCACATTGAAACCAGATTTCCTGTCAGCTCGACCACACCTCGTAGATAAGGTACCACGTGCATCTTGTGAGTAAAGAGAAGCTGGTGTAATTTTGAACAGTGAGATCATCAGAGGCCAGCAGATAAAACTCTCTAACGTAGCAACTGGGTAGGTGATCTTCTAGAAAGAATATGTCATCTTCCAGCACGTTGAGAATGAGAACGTGGTACTCACTATCCTAACTACCGCATGGCAATATCCACAAATTTTGAGGATGTCGTGATCCGTGCTAGTTTCGGTGAGTTTCAAGTAAGGGATTGACCTGCAGAGCGTACAGACACGTCACTTTTAAGAACATGTCAGTGAAAACAATTGTAACTTTATATTTTTTGTATCGTATTTCAATATATTTTATACTTTAATAACAGGATTCTAATAATTATTGTATGATTATTTTTTTACTTTCATATTATTTTGCATAAAAATAAGGCTTCATATTATTTTGTGCCAACGAGATTAATGACAAGCTGGATATCGTGATGATATCAGCAAGAAAGGGGTGAATAGACTAATAGTGTGATATGGACACTGGCACGGATTCGAGGTGCAGAGACAGATCAGTAACAAGGAAGATTCCAGCCAAACTGTGTAAGGCAACGAATCGAGTAACTATACGAGAATTCAAGTGGATCACGAACCAACATGCTTCTGTCAGGGGCAAATACTGAAGCGATTGGTCACAGCAAGGATATTAAAATACTATTCTGAATCACCACTGCGTCACGAATGACCATCATGGTGTTGAACTAGCTCGGAGAGAGACAGCACACCCTGCCACCGCTCTCAAATAATGCAGGCACATCATTTGGCCTTTGGTGATATATGCGAAGAAAATTCAGCAACTCACAAGATCGTACCGGGTGATTTTTCGACTCGTGTGTCTTCTCTCAGTCCCGCGTCAACTTCTACCCCGACCAGTCGTTGGAGGTGTGCGAGCTATGGATGAAATGTTTATAAATCTGTGTCAGAAATGAGGTGCAAGAGCACCTGAAAAAGAAAAATAATGTAAAAATGAACAATTTCAAAGATAATACGATCTTCAAACTGTCAAATGCATTGAAAGAGGTCGCAAGTGTATCAACGAGCCGAATCATGTTCTACAAAATTATAAGCATGGGAAAGGAACGAGGTGAGTTGGCACTCTTTTCTCTCTTTTTGTGGGTCTCAAGTATGGTTGTGTGCTCAATCTTACCACCTCTCCGACTGATTTCAGCGGCCACAAGCTCACGCACCTTCATGAATTACCATGATCATGCTAGAAGGTGCGGTCAAAGTGACCTCTGAAGGTCTAAAGGAGACAAATCTGAGAGATAATTTGGAAGAACCATCTGCATCTATGGAAGCGTCCATAATTGAAGACTACGGGAAACTCAAAGGATTCGTAGTTAATATCACGAGGTCTGATATAGCAATTTGGTCGAAAATTTTTGTATGACTCCCATGTTAGACAGACCTACCGATTAAAGCTTCAAGACAAATATCAACTTATTAATATTTATTCCAGGAAATTAACATATTGATCTATTTAAACATTGCACATAAGTTTGAAGGCAGATGTTGATTGCAAGCTGAGACCTCCAATAGCTCAAAGAGAGGCATAACCTCTAGTGCTTGGCCTTGTTAAAAAAATTATGGAGACCTCAGGTTTTAAAAGTTCAAATTTCAAATGCTCTTATTTGAGCGTATCAACTTTGATATAGTCAAACTAAAGGTAATCAACTTTTGGATGTTTGCGCTTTCGAACCTCAAACTTTGACTTCTTGCGTTCTGACAAGAAGCAAAAGTTTGGGGAATCGAAATGTGTATTGCTATAATATCTTTTCTGATGATGATGTTATGATTATGATTTTGGAATAAATGAACCATCTGAAACTCAAGTTTTTTGGATGGAGATATCAAGTCAAAGAAAATACAGTTATTGATTGACAATTAGAATTGAAAGTTAGCATTAGAATTGGAAGTTAGTGAAATATCCAACAGATTAACAATCAATGGATAATAAATGAAATTACAAAGCAAATAACAATTTCACTAGAAAGGTTAAAAATTCTACAAGGTTAGGTTGTGAACCAAATTTTTTTTGCAAGAGAAAATTTTGAACTATAATAATATATATGTCTGAATTATTTAGTATCTCAAAATTTGCTTGTTGTGAGTACATCAGTTTTTTTTAATCTTATTTCAAATGAAGTGCGAACTTTGAAGGGCAGGGTGACATGGTAGGACAAGCAAGACGAACCAGCAGTGAACATGTCACCTCGACACTACAACGTTGTAATCCAACGGATAGCGCAGTTGCAGGATCACGGTAGTCAAGGGAGGGTCCGCAGACTCTGTACCTGGAGATTTCTTTCTTGATTCTAAATTTAGATGCGAGACATCGGCGTCGAGTGAGCGCATGCCTCAATCTTTGGCGATTCATTCCAGAAATCAATTGCTCTAGTCTCGTCGCTTTCTGAAAGATTGATTACCAAACAGTGGTGGGATTTGAACGCCAGTGAGGGCGGGGTCAGAGGGCGGTGGACGGATTGCCGGGTGCTTTTTATCCATTTTTTTTTTTTCCAATGTTAATTTAGATGAGCTTATCTCCTTCTTGATACCTATAATCTCTAAGAAAAAATTGCAAAAATTAAAACCCTTGCAAAGATTACATCAAGCTACTAGACCAACAAAAATTGGTGATTTTATAACATTACAAAGATTCCTTTGACATTTGTATATATATATATATATATATGAAAATAATGAATAATGAAAATATTGGCTTTATTATTCAACTGCTATACATGGATGACATGCATGTTGCATCTAGAAATTCCAATTTTTCTTTTTTTTAAGTTTAAAAAAATTTTCAAATCATGAAACATCTTGTTGCAATAAAATTTAATTTGAATTCAAAAATCTAAAGAAAATAGAAAAAATGAGATTGATGATCAACTCAAGAAAATTTTGATATGATGATACTTGCAAGATTTCGCATGAAAATTCCAATGTTATGATTATTGTTTTAACTATTATTTTAAATTTTCATCAATTCTTTTTCAATAAATCATGTGAAGAAATTTTCATGTTCAAGATACAGTAGTTAAAAATTGTATGGTTATGACTATGTAAACTAGATTTCATCCTGCTTAAGCTGTGAGCAAGATCAACATATACACGTCAAAACTAGAATAGATTTAATTTGTATCTATAAATAAATTCTCATAAATTTTAAGATCACCTTGGATTTTAATCTTGCGTTTGATGAAAACTTATACAACATCACTATATTAAATGACTATGAAAATGAATACAATCAACAAAATATATATGAGAAAATTTTAGATATATTTTAATATATGAAAACGAATTCATAAGTTATGTATATAAGAAGTTTGATCTCTTTCATTGCAAAATTTGAATATATAACTATAAAGGAAGCGACAAAAAACCAATTTGATTGGGTCGGCTAGTCAGAAAGATGAAATTAGCACATCACATTATGGATTTTTATTGTGACAATCAATGTGTTTTTCATGAAAGTGTGAATCAGATGATAAAAAATAAAATAAATCACATCAATATTTAATATCATATTTTCAGAAAAAATGTGGTTGATAAAAATTTCACATTGTCAATAGTGATGATACTTACTCATTCTTGCTGATTTTTTTACAGAAATTATGTTATCTTATTTTTAATAATAATCTTAAATATTTCGTAATTTTTTTTCATTTGATATATTATGTCATATTGCAAGTTTTGCATATGAATACAAATAGAGTTAATTATCAAAAAATAAATTCCTGCATAATATTATACTTTTTCTAATTTTGATAACAAATTTACTCTTTTTTAACTTTAATAATAGAGTAATCGATATTAAAATTAATTCTAAAACTTCTTTCAAAGTAATCATAGATATCGTAGAAGTTATAATACGCAAGATATTAATAAAAGTGAATATTGTTAGAGGTTTACTGAAGTTTTTATTGAAATTAGTTAATTTAAATATGAATAATTATATTAATTAGTTGGTAACTACATGATAAACCTTGTCGTAAGTTTCAAAGATATGATTTAACATTTCCAAATAGCCATATTTTTTTACCGTGTTCATAATATGGATAGAGCAAATCATATATTTTTTCTACCAACAGCTTCAAGACAAATGTCATTTCTGTATGTAGTTGTGCACTTGAACTACATAACAATATTTTTTTTCATATAAATTTTTTTTATCATATTTCAACTCTTCCCGAATGATGTATTTGAATCTTGTGAAAGATTACGTCTAAATTTTGATTAATGTATGATATTGTTTGATCATTTTATTTAAAATTTCATAGATTATCAAATTCACATTTAAATTGGTAAGATTAGATCCATATATATATATGATTTATTACTGAATGCCATCATTGATTATACAGTCAAAAAGTGAAGGAATTTTTATCATCATTTATAGTTTTTTATTACAATTAGAAATTTTTTTGTAAAAGAAAATATTAACAACAACTAATTTATTCTTTTTGCAATCAAATTATGACATTGAAAACCATGTTTGTTATATTAATTTTCCACATGAAGATGAATGATTTGAAAAATATAATTAATAATAACCAAATGAATCTATAGAAGAACCAAATAATAAATCCCAAAAAAAAGCAAAAAATGATTTTTTCATAAATTCAAATTTACTCCTAATCACAAATTATCGTAGGTTATAATGACTTCATCTCTTCTTTCTGGAAAGAAGTCATTTCCTGGAAAGATAAAATTAAGCTATCAAATTATTAGACACTTAACGGAGAATAACTGAACATGCGAGAAGTTGCTCATAGTTTACTGCCGCTGATAGAAACTGGTGTTTTTTGCAGCGGTAGCAAAACTTATCCAGAAAACATTTAACAAATTCCAAAATAACTCATCTTGTCAAATATAATCTTAGCAGTTTATTTTAGTTTCAATGACGACGTTAGATATGTGCATGTTGATTACTAGTAGCAAATAAGCAAGTGTTTTTTCACATCAATAGGTATAAAAACTACTGTTCCATCTCATTGCAACGGGCGAAATAAAATAAACGGGCCAAGTGATAGCGAAAAAAGTTTAAGAAATATCTACCAGGATGGAATATCTCATTGGATTTTTGGTAGTAAAGAGAGATTCCAAATGGATGTTAAAGTGATGATAATAACTTGTCATGCCTACACTGAAGAAAATTGTCAACTGGATGAGGGCTAGCCCAATGGTATAGTGTCGTGAAATATCTTCTACAGAACTATGCAATCGGCAGGGGCTCTGAGAATGACTTCATTCTTCGGGATGCACTTCGCGTCGAGTCAAAATTCTTTTAATAATTGGAGAAGGTGGATGTGTCCTGGGAACAAGATGGATCGCTGTGCGATCGCCGTTGTCGTGTCCATCAAAGATTGGAGTTCAAACATTGCTAGAGGAGCGTAGGCGCCGCAGTACCGACCACTATAGAGAATGCTTTAGGCAAAAGTGACCTGCCGCAGCAGATCCGTCGGAGATGAAGCTCATGAGAAACTGGATTGATGGGCCTGCAAAGCCTGACTTCTAAAGCAATTGGCGAATTGTGGACTGGATTTTGACAGTCCACAGTGCAGTCCATAAATCAAGCTGGTCAGAGGTGAGGTCCCAGCGAAGCGCCATTGGCGGAGACTATTGCGGATAACGATGGTCAATGATTAGCGCCACTAGGGGAACTTAGTTGCTGACAATTTACAAGAACCCCCTCTTGTCCGAATCATCGATGAAAACCGAGGACCTGAATCGGGCTGGTATCATCTTCAGGGTTTGAAAGTTTTGAGGTCTGTCATTTCAAAGCAAGGCTTGGCTAAATTTACGACTGTTCAACATGTGGAAACTACGGACTGCTCTCCTGGTTGCAGTGATCGCGCTTGTGACGCCGAGCCACTGTGCTATTGGTAAAGTCTGTTCCCTCGAGAAATTTGCTTGTCTATGGGAGATCAACCGCGTCTTTTTCATCTAATGAGATTGATCTCATTTTCAGTAGAATTTTGTGTCGAACATGTCTCACTGTGTTTGACCGTCGTTTAGATCTCTGACCCATAAATGAATTCAGCTCGATCAACGACTGTTTTCGTTGTTGCTACTGCAGTTCGGTAGTCCAGTTAAGCATTTGTCGAGTCAATTTGGGTTGGGACGATGCGTAGGATAGACGATTAGTATCGGACAAGAGAGGAGCAAGAGAGGTTTTTGCATGCATCATTCCGAACATTCGGAGAGGCAGTGTTCTAATTTAGAATTTTTTCTGGCATAATCTATGCATCGCAGAGAGGACACTGGGTATGATCAAACCCGATTGTGTTCGAAACAAACATGTCGATGAAATCAGGAAGATTATACTCGCGCAAGGTTTCTCTTTTGTGAAGGAAAAAGACACCAAATTGGATGTGGCTTCTGCCAAATCTTTCTACCAAGAGCACAATGGGAAGGAATTTTTTCCATCACTGATCGAGTTCATGACAAGGTATCGTTTTTCTGATGTTGATTCTGAATTGTAGATAGATTAGATGGACGTATGTGACTGAGAAGTGTTTCATTGTATTCAGCTTATGCAACATGAAGCATGCACCGTTCTTTGAACAAAATTTTAGAGAAGAAAACTGATAAAATTGTACGTGAGCAGTGGCCCTGTCCATCCTATGGTCCTAGAAGGCGAAGGTGCAATCAAGAAATGGCGTGCCCTTATGGGTCCTACTGATTCGAACAAGGCCAGAATCACAGCCCCTGACAGGTATGACCGTCTGCCCTATTGTACGCCTGATTCCTTGTTAGCTGCTTCCTTTTTCAGCTTGTATTTTCTGCAGCTGAACTCGTGAGCAACTTCTGGTATAACACTTACGACTCTCACATATCTCGTTGAAGCCTTTCTTCTGGAATGCTTGTTAACCCGATGATACCATCTTCATGTTGTCAGTTTTCCCACGACTGCATGCACTAATTTATTTGAACTTCGCTTCATAGCTCTCATTTTCGCCAAATTCCATTCACTACATGCTGACCTCATTATTGAAACATCTTGCGACCTAGACCTGTTATGACTTCAAGTCTTCAATATGCTTATCCGTAAGTGTATGTTTACTCTTTCGTGCTTCAAAACCCTGGGGTTTTGTGAACTGAACTACACTTACTTCTTCCTGTTTCCATTCCATGAAGAATGTATCAAAGTCATTTGTTTTTTCATCATATACCACTCTTTTTCAGCGTACTCCAGTATTTTCACACTCGACTTATAGCCTCTGCTCTTGGACTGGAACACGGGTTTTAGTGCTAGTCCACGTTACGGATGAATATACTATCTTCCTCTTTAGGTATTGATCAAAGTTCTTGTTTAGTAACCTAGGGTTCTTGCTAAGAAAGCACACAGACAAGATTATTGCATCCTTTGAATCTTGACAGGTTGGTTGTGTACGCTCCTTGTATGGTTGGTTGGTTGCTAAAGCTCCCCCAACGTCCAGATAAATTGTAATAATGAACTGCTTGAAGAGAATCTACGGGACTCGGTTTGAATTGGTCATGCGATTCTGGCAGATGATACATGATGGTTGACATTCCGGGAATTCTAATGTTTCGGATGAATTTTCCAGATACTAATGTCATGAGTTGCCATAATGTTCGAATGGTAACCTGGACGACATGGTTTGTTTGGTGCAGTATACGAGCTGCTTTCGGAACTGATAATCAGATGAACTGCGTCCATGGTTCTGACGCCCCAGAGTCCGCCGCCCGGGAAATTTCATTCTTCTTTGGAGACGACAAGCAAGGTTCTTGGTCTTATTTATCAATTTGATACATGTTTCTCTGGTATGCATCTTCTGTGCATCTTTCCTGCCTTCCTTTTATCAGACTCTCGACGTCTTGGTGTTTCTTTTGACTTTTCAGACTTAAGGTTTTATTTTGTCTGGAGTTTCGAATTGAAACTCTGTATCTTCTGTTTGTGATTGAAGCTTCAAAGCAAGAACCGGAGGCACCAAGTAAAGTTCACGAAGAACTATGAATAACGCAGAACATCCAGCCACAATATACATGTAAAAATTTAAAGCTCTGTCTAAGGGAGTTATAACACCGGTCTAAGAGAAGCGAATCCTGTAGAATTCTTACTGAAGTTGGTGAGCAAAATAAAGTGAGCAGCTTTGTAGCCACGCACTGCTGTCTTCAGTGTCTGGTTGGTTGGTCATGACTCCAAAGATTCTTAAACTCTTCTCATAAAGTAAAGGAGGAGACGGTACTCGCAAGGTCATTGCACGCAGGTCCTCCTCGCAAGTGAGCTTTGTTCTCAGCAATATTTTTCCAACAAGGAGGAAGAGCAAGGCCGTGTAATTGACTGAATGTCTCTCCTTCTGTACCTTAGATAATGGGTTAAGTCACAACTCTGTCTGCAGTTTTTGAGGGCAAGATTATCCTCAACTAAGTGCAGCTTTTCGCTGTCATCTGCAGTAATTGTCGGTAGAGGGAATCGCATTTCAAGGTCGACCGGGACGTAATTTAGTGTTTTGGAAAACCCCGAGGCTTTGGATGTCGCTCAGAGCAGAGCAGGCATGATAACAATTGCTCTGCAGCGAAATTTTGACTGCGTGATTGTATTTCTATTGAGACCAAATTTGTGTCAAAACCTCCTTGCAATCACAGCTGTTTGAAGTTGTGAAGTTTAAAATTTGTGCCATTTCCTTCTTTTAAGTTAGGATATGGATGTTTTGAGAACTTGGATGCTTCGGATACATCACCTATCTTATCAGTCAGGAGATAAAATATGGGACAGTGTTGTCTACATGAGATTCAAACCTATACTAGTACACTTATTCTTTTCACATTCCGCTCATCAGCCGCGCTCTGCTTTGATTTTATTTCGTTGGTACGTAATCTTGGTATAGTCTTAGTTAATATCAATCACCAGAATTACTTTTAATTCTATCGCCAAGTTCTATCTTTTCGATGAGGATCGGATCATGCGTTACATTTTGCTCTCTATCTGTTTCTTTTTGCTGTTAAGATCTAGTTCCTCGCCTTCTTTTTATGTGAACATGTTCACTGAGTCTAAGTTTCTTCAGTGTTTTCATCACAATTAACACGGTCATTCTATAAATTTTGTGGTCTCACTATTTCGAAAGTATGCTGTGATATGGATAGTTCATCAAGTGAATTTCAACATGTGCACGGAGTTTGATTTCTGCATCCTCCCTGTACGTATTCGTAACAGTTACCCGAATCGGCAGACTTACATGTCTTCACTTCGTTGTAGGCATTTTGACGAGTGTCTACAGACCTGACGATTAATGCATATGGCTGTTTGCAGACTTTCATCACAAGCGTTTATTTAGCAAATTTAAATTCATGTAAGACCTCTAGAGACTGCAGTGGTGAATGTTGCCCTTGCCTGTGGGTTCTGTTTTGTTCCGTTCTTCCTACTGAAGTCTTGAGGGTTTTACCGGATGATCCTGTTTATTGTTCCACCTGAAGGAACAAAAGATCATGACTGAGTTTATCTACTCAGGATTTTCTTTGCTTAGGAGTTAAGCTACTGCAAGCAGGAAACGTAAGCATTTCTGCTCCACCAAGTGGTTAAGCAGAATACTATTTTTTTCTTTCACTGCCCATCAGTGCACGCAAATAACCGACATGTCCATGTATTAGGGGAGTATGGGATCTTGACATTGCAGTCAGTAGATATGATATTAACTACGTACGTCACGACTATTCTGGAACAAGTAATACAAATGGAGGTAAATACTCACAAAAAAATGTGTACGACAAAGTTTCCACCACACCGATGGTCCCATACATCTCATGTTGTCAATGCACTGCTGATTCAGCCCTACTCTCCACATATTCCTTCATTCTACACGATGTTTAATTGGTGACTTCAGCAATATAACTCCTGGAGACTATCCTACCTTACTGCAAAGAATTGCATGGTCTTTTCATCCACTCGAACGTGTTCTGCTAACGTTATCGATACCAGCCGATGAATTGAGGTGGCAGAGTACCTTCCAACATACGGTCAGATCCTGAAGTATGGGAAGGCAAACTGGGCACAGCAGAAACTTCTCTCTAGGTTAGACCTTCTGGTTTCAACTCGGAATGCGTATGTGTCATGGAAAAGGTGCCCTTGACTCGGTAGTCCACTTGCATCACCGAGTAGGAACAAGGGAGGCGGACAAGAACAAAAATGGAGACATAAAGCACTGAGGGGAGCATCCATCTTGAACGCATCACCACCTACTGAATATCTGCTAACTCGTCTGTCCTTCGAAACCGCTTCGAGTGATCCATCCATGTCTTCCACCGAGCAACCAACCAACCAACCTGTACAGTGCAGTGTGTCGATCTAGGGGTCAGTGGCCGCCCCCTCGCCTGAAATGCAAGACATGATGATAATGATGGGATTTGAAGAAGTATATTCATCGGCACCAATTCTACACTGAGTTTCTGTAAGATACCAAAATTTTAGATCCGATCTCTGAGCAAAAGCTCAGCGCTCCTACAACCCATTGTTGCGGTAGCTTCTCGGATGGCCCGAGGGCAAGCCAAAAGGGGAAGGCCGGGACCCCAAACGCTCACATTAATGATGTTCATGACTGGCCCAGAATTGAAAAGCAACGAAGAATCTGAAACTGATAAGCACTTGGGCTCAAAAGCTCCACTGTTCATTCCGATATTTCCACTCCGGCAGGTGCTGGGTTTGCTCGGGCATGTGAGGCGCAACTCTAAATAAAGTGCAACATACAAATACTTGGAAACGATGCCTGCCAAAGTCCAAATGCAAAAGAGCAAAAGCTATGAGTCATGCCTAGGACCCGATAAGACTTCAGCTACAAAAGTGCTCATGCTTTGCTTATTCCATACTCGTGTGGACCCCCAGATCCTTCGAAAACACATCTGGCTTAAAGTTGCGTTCGTTTCGTGCCTCTAGCCACTTGAAAGAGTTCGATTCGCCTCCTCTTCCTCGACTATGATCTCGGTCTTCAGCACTGGGCAAACTGCTCAGGACTTCTTTCTTTATGGTACTTTGCATATTCGCTCTGGCAAACCTTTAGCCCTCCTGGGAAAATACCTGTGATTGCATAATACCGTTGCAAGGGTCAGACAGGAGAAAACCTGTAGAAGCGTGTGTTTTGCTTTGACTGAAACCATCGCTGATAACTACGACTCATGAAATCGATTGCTCAGTCATCTGACCAAATATAGATCTTTGGTGAGGATGTGCGTGCGATCACATTGTCCTTAATGGGGCTCAAACTGGCCTCTTCTAGTGGAAGTTTATGTGCCATTAGACATATCTTACTTTTCGCTTGATAAGCTTCGAATCCAAACTGGTAATCACCATGTTTCTGGTTCTATTCATACTTGTCCTTTCTCTGTAGTCCACTCCTACTGTGAGCAAGTTTGGACACCATTGATGGAGGTCTTTAACTGTGTAAAAAATGGGACAAAAAGAAGTTGTTGACGGAGACCACGGCAGTTGCTAACTCTTGCTGCATAGCACTTGGGACCAAATGGAGAGTCCAGTACAACACGGTTCTTCTCCCTGATATTTGTAGGAGTGAGAATGTTCTATGCTTCCGAAGTGGACACATTTGAGAGAGGTCGTTCTGTTGCATGACAGTCAAAGTGCAGGTGAACGAACGAAGACTCCTCTGCATTTACTTTTCGTAGATTTTGCCTGACATGGGTGTGTATATATTATATATAAGTGAAAGGAGGAGAACAAGAACTGCTGCTATCTCAAAGCGTTTAAGGCTCTATGCCTTAAGTGGTCACCCCAGTGCGACAGATTTTTTGTATACCAAAGGCATTTACACAGGAAGAAGCAGTAAGTGGTATCCCCTCTCGAAACTCACATTTAGCTATGTAACTATTGAGTTAGAATAATCTGTATAGAAAGATGTATGTGTGACGTATTATGGAGACGTATACGCAAGTCCTCATATATAAGAGCTCAGTGATAATGTCCCATCAACATCTTATTATTCTGCAATCGTTGATTGGACTAAATTGAATTAAAGATAAACACCTTATAATTGCAAACATTTATCTTCGCTAAAATTTGTTTTGCATAATGTGCATACCAATGTGTATGTATATGTGTTGATATCTTCTGTAAGTCAAATTTTTCACTAGGACATGGAATAAAAAATTCCAAAAGTATAAAATATTGCTAAGTTCCTACGAAACGTGTCTACTTTCATTAGAGCACATTTCGAAGTTTTAAAGAAGTTTCTTTGATCATCTGGTTCCGAAATAGTATACTTCATTCAATCTAATTAGAAGTCAAATTTAGTAATCAAATAAATAATTGTTCCTAGTTATGTGCCATTAGAAAGAAAATTGGCAATGAATTGAATAAAATTATAGTTCTCTAAAATTAATCTTCTACAATGGCCATACAAAACATCAGAAACATGAATCCAGTAGCCCAAACTAAATGACCAAATAAAAACATCTATGCCCAAACAGACAGACTATTCAAACCAAAAGGATTCTATCCATTACTCAATTGTGAAGAATTTAACCATTAATAATATCTGATTCTAAAAATATAAACATTTCCATTAAATTTGCTTAAAAAACATGATATTAAACCAAAAACCTAGACATTAAAATTCATGAACAAGATTCATTCAAACAGTAAATGAAGAAACAACAAAGTAAAAGAAATCAATCCAAAAATACCGATGATTGAGATTTTAGAATTTAAAATATGATTTTTATCATTAAATAAGTAAATATTGAATATTCTCTTTGTTCAAGAGAACGTGCTATGTTTTGATTTTTTCCAGCTTATGTGTTTACATTGTTCATCGTTCAGAATATTATCTAATAATTATCGAATCTAATATTGATATTAGATTCAAGTCAGAGAGAAGATTTTTCAAATTACTATCGTATAAAAAATTACAGTTTTGTACAAGCTAAGAAATAAATCAAGTCTAATGGATCGATAATAAAATATTTTTTCAAATTAAAAAATTTCAAAAAGGAAAATTAAAATCTGATACTTTTCTGATGTGTTATGAAATGTTCCTTTTTACCAGATAATTATTTGCAATTTATCATTGCATAAAATGATATAAAATGAAAAGGTAGTTTCTAAATGTGTTATTATAGACAGGTGCAAACCTCATACTGCACATGTGATACTTGATGTACTTCTTCAAGCATCAATATATTTAGTTTGTAAATTGATATAATTGCTTAGTCTCCTCAAATTGAAATCTTCTCTTTTAATGTTTTGACAGAATCAGACGTGAAAAACTTTCATCCATGAACCGAAATATTGAGATAGAACATACTCTTGCAATAAGCCATTTATATCATATAATTAATCTAATATGAAATGTTTCAAACATTTGAAAGAAATTTGGTTATGATTTCAAATTTAGGGCAAGAAATAATTGGAATATTTACAATGAGTTCGTAAAATTATATATTATGATATGTATTTTTAAAGTCTTGACCTTAAGTATTTTCATGGAATGAGTTTAGTTGGAAAAAATGAAAATAAATAAATCAAATAAGTTAAATTTGTAAGTAGATACTTCAAATTTAATCCAGAAATTTTTTTTATGAAGAGGATATGAATTCAGAATAAAATTACAATTTCAAGTGTTGATAATCCATGAAATTTTATGTTTGAATTTGTCAAAATTAGCTGTATCCTTGATGTTACATGATTGATTTCATATTTCATTTAAAAAAAAAGTTAATTAGAGTTGTTTTTTATCCGGGTGAAACAGGTCAACATCATAGTATAAACTATTTATAGTTCCTTGTTATGTCATGATATTATAAAATTTTATCCATAGACGCATATTGTGATTTGTAAAACTTGTTTTTTTGAAAACAATGATGTGCATTTTAGTTTTCAATACTATTTTCATGAATTAAATATGTATTAGGATCTTATCGCTATAGACAGAGTTTAAAATCACTTGTTACTTTACCTTATTTCTTCAATGTATTATTCTAAAATATTTTTTTATGAGAAATTAAATATCTTTGATATTAAATATCTTGGAAACTGCAACAAGCTTTGAGCATGACACTATTAAATATTTCATAATATGTCTATAGCTATCACTTTGATTAAAAGAGGATGGTTGTTGGTACGTGATTATGACTACTCCCGAGTGCAAAATAAGAATTACATTTTATAGAGAATCCATGCAAAATTGTGAATCGAATGTCTGGTTTCAATTTCAGGAATTCGATCAACGTGGACAAGAAAAAGGTGCGGTGAAGTCCGATAGCCATCTGTTATTCAATTCGCTACAACAACTGCGGAATGCAAGCGAGACGCTGCATATGCTCGCTGCCCTTCATATTCTCCAAGCCGACAGACAGTACAGAAAGCTGGAATTTAACAGCTGAAAAGCAAAAGCGCCCTGGAACTCGGGGAAAGAACAGCGAAAGCGAAGGCCGGACCGTCGGAGTAAATGCGCAGAGGCATCGATCGGGGATGGACAGAAGGCGCTCGACCGCCGTCGTCATCACAGTAAAAACATGATCGATGCCCGTCGACGTGGAGCGTACAGCTCGTCCAGGGGGCCACGTAGTTGCCGCCATACATCGGCCCTACGGATTTCCAAGTTCTCTCTTACCTCAACGACGACGACTGACAGCCGTCGGAATCCGATCGGAAGGTTGGTGGCCGGCCACATGGACGTCCTCGGAATCTAGAGACGAGGTAGGACCCGTCGTTTGGCGATTCAAACGTCGCGCTGACGTGCCGGTTGAGGAATATCTGAAGAGAGCGGTGATTGGCGGACGGGCGACGGGGACCGGGAGCATGGTAGGGGATTACACGCATCCCCACCAATCCTACGACGCCGCGTGGATGGACGTGCCCTTCCCGTGGAGCGCCCAGCCGGCCGGCCGGAGGGATCGCGGGCTCGCGCAGTTCGCTCTTACGATGCAGCGCGCGTCGTCCCCTTCCCTCATTCCTTCCGAATGTAGAATCTCGAAGAGAGCGAACTGCTGGTGCGACTGTGCGTCGAGATTCGTAGTCAGGGGTTTTTGGGTTTTTTGTTTTTCTTTATTTTTGTAGGAGGGGGTCCTGGGGCGGGGGGTTGGGTTGGGTCGAGGGCGTCGCAGCAGTCGTCGACTTTTTAAATTTTTGTTTGTGGGTGGGGGTCATTTCCGTGGCGGAGCACATCAAATTTCTGCAGACTGAAATTGGCCTCCGCAGCCTCGTGCTCAGTCTCGTAGAGAAGAGCAGCAGCAGCAGCAGGACGACGACGACGTAGAAGAAGAAGGAGGCGCGAATGAATGCGGATTTGCTGAGCACGAAGCCGAGGCCGTAGCAGGATCGAGATTCCCCGCAACATCGCTCATGTGGCTTTTCCCGGGCGAAATCGGCGAGAGCTACTGGTGGTGGTCGTGGTGGCAGGAACAAAACATCGCAGCCTCGGGTCAATTGGCGGCGCGGTGCTCCGGGCTTCATGTACTCGTTCCAGGAACAGTTCATGGCGGCAGGACTATGGAAAGACACCTTCCTTCTCTCGCTTCGGACGCCCGCCTTCGCGAACATGGAAATCATCGTAAGTCCGTACCGACGCTCGCTGTCTGTGTTTTGTCGTCCATCGTTTGAGTCCCGGTGGCACCGGCGAGCTCTCACCTCTCACGATTTCCTATAGATTGTACCTCGCGCCCGCTGCCCTTCCTGCGAGAGCTTTATCGTGATCGGCCCCGTTTGTGCCGTCGCTCCAGCCAGCCGATGCCAGGCGGGTCTAGAGAGGGCGAGCGAATTCACGTCCTTGGTTTCGGCTGTACCTGGCTCTCACCTCCTGCTTGTCATTGTGAAATGGTAGGTTGTGGGCCGTGAGCAGCGCCGGCTCTGAGCGATGGTTCTGCCTCTGGTGAAGAACGGAGAAGACAGGTCTCTCGTGCGAGCAAGCGAGGGGTTGGTGACCACGACGAGAAAAGTAGCCGCTCTCGATTACCCCTCCTCTGCCTCTAGCTCCACGAATTCTCGCCCAGGCGAGCTCGCAATCGATCACCGCGCCCGTACAGGAGCACTCGTGCTGCGGCTGCGTCTTCCGACCACACGAATTCGAGCTCGGACGGGATTGTGAGCAACGAGAGAGGGGCCGATTGCGTTGCAGCCCCCCCCGTGGAATCTGGGTCTGGTCGGGCATCTGCTGACAACAGATGCATGGCGAGTGACCATGCAGTACTACCAAGTGAACACCTGCGGGGAGTCTGAGCAGCTTGCCCTGGCGAATTCCGAAAAGCCGGACAATGTGTACCCCGGACCATGCCAGTGTCAAAGCGAGGCTCCGGAGAATTATGCCTGTCTGCCGCCTTTGAGACGCGAGGATCAAGGGAAGAAAACTCTGGTGCTGGATCTCGACGAGACTCTCGTGCATTCGTCTTTCAGACCCGTGCCCCATTATGACTTCAACATTCAGGTGGAGGTGGAGAACAAGATGTGCAACGTGTTCGTGATCAAGAGGCCCGGAGTGGATCGGTTCTTGCAGGCCGTGTCGAAATTGTTTGAGGTCGTTGTGTTCACCGCCAGCCTGCGCAAGTATGCGGATCCCCTGCTTGATATTCTGGACCCTCAGAACTACATCCGCTACCGCCGCTACAGAGAGTCCTGCCGCTCAATTGACGGAGGCCTGGTCAAGGACTTGTCTATGCTCGGACGGGACCTCTCACGAGTTATCATCATCGACAATAGTCCTCATTCCTACAGCCTGCAACCGGCCAATGCAATTCCCATCGGCACATTCATCGACGACATGAGAGACAGGCAGCTCGTGGACCTCTTGCCGGATCTAGAAATGCTCGCCCAGGTCGAGTGCTATCCTAATTGCCATCAAGCGAGCTGCAGTTGACAGGAATCGCTCCCCGGACATCGAAAGACAGACAGGCAGACTCGGAGCTAGGTTGTGGTGGTACGGTAGTCAGTCTCCGGTGGAGGAACCGTCCTCCGTCTGTGCGCGAACACTCGTGGATTGGAAGGAGGACTCTGAGTTTTCTCTCGGTGAATCCTCCTACAGTTGCGTTTCCTGTCCATAGATCCATCTTCACAATTCCTTTTGAAGCTTGATTAGCACACATCTTGTGGGAGGCTTCTCTTGATTGATGTAGCAATTGCTCTTCCGCACATCGGGTGTGTGGTTCAGTCTCAGTGGGATCTCTCTTTTCAATAGGCCCCAAATTCATTCTTGAATAATTTAGGGTACGTACGTAGGAGCTGACGCAGCTAGCTCCTGCCCCGGTAGCAATCGAGTCTGGCTTGTAAATACTCATCCCGGATTTTTTCTTCGTCATTATGAGCAGTCGGTGGATTATAGTATTCTGGAATTGTGCTGCATCCTGTTTGTGCGGCGCTATCTTTAGTATCGAATTTGAAACAGAGGTGTAGTGTTTGTTCGTGGAGATGCAGTTGGAAATTGCCCATTGCCTCCTCCTCGGCACCACCAGCCTGCATTGGCATTTTTTCGCCCTGGTCCTCCCTCTTCCCAGGTTGAGTAAAGAGAATGCGCTCTAGCACCACAGGTGCTATTCCTCACCTGAAAAATCAGAAGCGAATGCCGCCATGTGGGGTGACCCCTTTGTCGTGACTTCCACTTTTGCTTTCAACATATCTCTATCCATCTACCTGTTCATGTCGACCAGAAGAAAGGAAGCACGAATTCATGGTCCATGTGTCGTTGAATAGGAAACAGAATATGCTCATGCACTTAAACTCTGATCTGCTTCAGCGTAGAGTGCAAGGCCGAAGATAGGAAATTCACAAAATCTTTGCAAATAGACTATTCTACGACTCGGGGCTTAGAGAGCTTTAGACTGCGTGGGTCCGAATCATCTGACCTGAGTCCAGTAGCTATCATGTAACGCTCGCAAATGTGCTTCTGCTTACAGAGTCTATCTACATCGTCCGGGACTCTTGGCAGACTGGGAAAGAAAGTCAACCGGAGCGGAGGTCGTGATTATCTCCCCCCATGCACAAACTCTCAGCACCGCCGAATGTGATATGCCGTTCCGAAATCTGGTGCGTGGGGTGTACGCCCTCCGCGAAGGGGGTTCGAGTGGACTCGATCGATGCTCGCACGGCCGCCAATGTGGACAATTCTGGGTCCTCCCTCGCCGAAGGGAGAGGACAGGAGATCAGCGAGAACTTCACGTAATCCTGGAGAATATTCTTTCAGTGCATGAACCACGACCGAGCATCTACAGGACTATAATGAATCCCACTCCAGGTGGACGTTCTTCAATCATATTCTGTGTCCATCCATCCTTCCGTCCGTCCTGTCCTGTCCTGCACCCCTGCAATGGCGGCACCATCTGAACGAATTTGGGCAGCTGCTCAGTGGGGAATGTGGACTGCCCCGTAGATGTCTCAGTCGTATCCCTGTACGTACATAATGGTACCAATTCTACCTAGTGCTGCCCACAGAGGGATACCAATTCTAGATCATCAGCAGCAGCTTACATGCTCCCGCGTGTGGCACTGTGCGCTGTGACGACAAGGTCTCAATCAAAGGATCCAGTGCTCTTGACCGACATGAGGGTCCTGCAAACCATGATTGCCAGTGGAGTGGACGAAGGCTCTGCCGACTTCGTCAATCGAGACGGACGCGCGAGGCAGCTTCCATCTTCGGCGTAACAAGACAAGAAGTTGTGTCATGGAAGTCTTAATAATCAAATGCGAGGAGGTTGAAACTGTATTCCTGCAGTTCAGTGCTGCAATGCAAATGTAAACAATGGTTCTTGAATCTTGACTTTCTGTTATGTGTGCCGTGTCTGAGCTCCTGGGTTCTTGCTCCGCCAGGCGGCCGGCCAGCAGGCAGGCAGGCAGGCCCGCCTGGCCGTGTATGTCGCAACCTCTGACCTTTTGCCGGTCGTCTCCGTGGACCGCGATCTTTGCTGGCCATCGCTTTTGGCGATTGCAGATTCTGACTACTGTGGATGCGGCGTATCACGTATGTCTGTATTCCTGTACATGCTCTCGTTGGCTCGTATCTCTGATGAGTCGGTGCTCCCGCCGACATTAATTCCCCCGCTCGTTGGTCCTTGCCTGTTTGAGAGCTTTCGCCCACTGGCATGGGATCCCAGACAGGCCCACAGCCGGATACCTTGATCGTCGTTCGACCATCTCCTCACACTTTGGCATCAACCTCTCGGCTTGTAGCGGCTTCCCCGGTACGTAAAGTCGCAGAGATTTTCTCAACACCGATATGAAGAATCGCAGCTTGTGCTTCGAGCTGTTAAGATTACCCACTCCACAGTGCCCACACACTTCGTGATCCCGCAGACACATGGGATCGGCTTTGGACGTATTGCATGAATCTTTCGCATGAATGCTAGCTAACCAATCCTGCCCATATCGTGCAATCCGTCAGTAATCTGTGTCCTACACTTCTCTCGGAGACGTATCCAGCAACCGCCATCACATCATAGCATTAAAATATTAAGCTCATCACGAAGAAGTCGCTCACAGAGGAAGCGATGCGGACTGAGGAAATTGTTCGGAAAGTCACGGGATCAGAACAGGCTTCTGAATGATTCACTAGCTTCTCAAGCTTGTCCATTCAGCAACCCATCAAATCATGACCTTTGCTGTCACAAACTCAGAAACAAGCTCGTTTGCAATTTGCTGGGATGTATTAGCAGTCAATCTTGCTGTAAGACCTTGCGTCAAATTTTGTTTTTTAAGAATATAGTAGCAGTCAACTTTTCTGTGAGCAGTAGCTAAGAGAGATTTTTGCTGTAGAGTGAGACTATTCTAATATTCAGGATGTCGCTCCGGAAGCAATGCCAGTGCGGAGCCAAACATTTGAACTTATCGTAGTACGACTTCATGCTCATTCTTAACCTGTTTGTTTATACAGTAGCCGACTGATACCAGAGTGAACACAATCGAGTACTAATTTGTCTTTTCATGAACTCAAACGGACGGTTACCTACACAAATGCCATAGTATCTTCCAAGTGGCAGTTTGTTCTTGTTCCATACCTGTAGACTCTAGAGTGAGCACGAAAGCAGCACCCCCAATTCCCTGTAGTCATTCTTACATCAAAATTCGCCAATTGGATATCGACCAGCAAGTGTATGCACACGAGAGTGCAGACAGCGCAAGCATTGAAGGTACTCAGTCTGAAATTGCTAAAAGATGGTGCTCACAGCCCGACATGAGGAACTTCGATCAACGGGCAGGAAAAACATATTAGAAATTGCACTATCTGGGATCGAACCGGCATGACAACAATCCTTTAAAAATCTAGTTCTCGGTTACGTCGATTGAAGTCGAGCAACTACTGTAGAAGATGTCAACGCAGATGGCAGCTAAGTGGAAAAATCAGGATCATTATCTCGTGATTTCTTTCACGCAAGTAATACTTTCATGTTGAACAAAACTGTAAAATATCCACAAATATGTTTTTATTTGAAAAGGAGACTTCTGGAATAAAAAACAGTTTGAATACAAAGGCCACATGAAATCCAACCGAAGTGACAATATTAATAAAGAGAACTCATCTTTTTCCTAACTAACAATGTCTCCAACTTATTGATATCGCTTCCATGCATTTCGTCAGTGCTTGTGATAGTCTGATGTCCATCACACGCATCACTACTCTCAATTGTAGATGCCATAGCCATAGCCTGAATGCAATATAAATTCGTTGTTTAGCGTAGATTGAAGGATAATGTGTTGTCTAAAGTATTGGTCGCACTGTGACAGTGGAAAAATGTACATCCTTGCTCCTTATTGATGAAACCGGGGACACTTGGTGATCTATGATACTTCTTAGTATCACCCAAGTTCAATATTTGTTGCTTACAAGGGTTTCATAGTGATTCAAACAAAATCTCTCTCAGTTGCAGATGTCAAAGCAGGCTGAAATGCAATGCAATAAGATGTTTATCATATTCGAATTGCATATCGGATGCAGTTATAAAATGAAAAATGTTTATTCATACCTCTATCCTATCCTGTAACAAATTGATCCATTAAAATTACTTAGAACTTATCACCAGCTTTAATATTTGTTACACACTACATAGTGGTGAGCATATTTTGACCAAGTTATCTTCTTGGATCACTACCATAGCGACTTCTTTCAATCAATAGATTTGAATATCGACATGAACATTTTTGAATGCCAAAGGGTCAAAGAAGAGTCATCCAAATCCAGCGATGCCAAAGTTATTATACAATGACTTGGATTCCATAGTATAACTTATGACATTTGGATCGATTGACTTCTGTAAATAATGTAGAACACGGCGAATAGAACATTTGGTTGCTGGTAAATCTTAGGGATATGAACGAATCCAAGTGAGACCTAAGACCACGCCGTGATTGGTTCTGGATCATGCCCACCGAGAATGTTTCTAAGTATATGCTAAAATTATGCTTACTAGACTCAAACTCAACCAAAGTCATTCAATCTGCTGATGTAATGATGACGATTCCATTCAACTGCACATACTAGAGAAATTTTCCCTCATAAATACATCTAGCAAGACATTAGACATTCATTTATAATCAGAGTACATTTTACAATAGGTGCAGACTAGGGCCCTTTTTTGCTACAAACGCAATAGCTAATTGTTTTAAAAATGTAACATCTAGTACTAGATGTTACAATACTGAAATAACACAATTTCTATACAAAATTATTAACAATGTATATATCAAATCTTACGAGAATATTTTCTTCCCGTAAAAGCCAACCCAACAACCTGTACAATCTCATAAAGAGATTAAGAGAGTTTTGAACGGGATTTGTTGAGCCTCCTTATGTACAATATTGTAAAGGGGCATACTAGGGCCACACCCGTTTTTGCTACGACCACACCCACCCGCTAATAGATCAATATAACGGCAGAACTGGCGGCAGCGGTACAAGCGGCAGCAACGCAGGAGACAGCGACGGCCGCATCAGCCCCGCGCCCCTTGAAGCCTCTCGACTACGCTCTCCTCTACCTCGCGGACGAGCTCGGGTTAACAGCTGGGTTTGAGGGGATGCGTGCTTTGACGCGCAATAAGTTGTTTGTATGTAGCGGGTGTGGCCGTAGCAAAAACGGGTGTGGCACTATTCTGCCCCATTACAATACTGAACATAGGGAATCTCAACAAATCCCATTCAAAACTCTCTTAATCTCTTTTTGAGATTGTACAGGTTGTTGGATTGGCTTTTACGGGAAGAAATTATTCTCGTAAGATTTGATATATACATTGTTAATAATTTTGTACAGAAATCGTGTTTTTTCAGTATTGTAGCATCTAGTACTAGATGCTACATTTTTTAAACAATTAGCTACCGTCATTGTACCTAAGAGAAATGTGTTATGCTCATGTACGATCTAAAACTTAGAGTTTGTGAGGTCTCCGTGATTACTTGTATTTGAGCATCCCATTTCCGTAGAATACATTATCACGGTATTATTTAAAAAATATCCGCTTAACATTTCATGTACAGGCTAAAACTTTTCAAGTCCTATCTAGGTATTTAATATAAAGCTAGTAACTCTCATGTTAACTGCTTTGGTGTCAATACCAGATAACAAGATTTGTTTAAAATTCTGCAATAAATTGTTTGATATGTTGACAAAGTACGATACAAGGGCCGGTTGGACTTGTTCATATCGGATGAATTCGAGAACATGAGCTTTTATGGTTTGCTGGTGCGATATGTCAAATGTATCAAACTCAACATAGGTATAGTGAAGCCTAAATATTCCAACTAATCTCTTGCATATGATGAACGTGAATCTATAATTATGAATGCACGGAAAATAAACATTGAATTTTTTGTTAAATCAGTCATGCATATCTAAATATGCAAGATTAATGTATATTGATATTCTATGTATGATGAACAGATAATAATTTATTGTGGATTTATTAAACCAATAATTGAAGAAATTGGCTTGTGATTATCCAGGGACCAAAACGATAGAAAAAATTTTGAAAAGATTTCATCAAGCTATATTGACAGTCTGAAACCAAGCAAAGAAACCCAAATCTAGACTCCAACATCATCAAAACAATATTCAGGACCCAAGTAATTAACAATATGAATGTAAAAGTTCTTGAAATATGGACATCAAATATCAATAGTGTCCTTCTTACAGCACTACATAGATTTCGTTAGAGAACAATGTAAACAAACGTACAAAACTCAACACGTTCATCACAATATAATATACATATACGAGAAGATAAATAAATAATATGAACTGTATGTCGAACATGAGTAAATACCATATAACAATGTAAAATAATTGAGAACATTATACAACACGTCGACAACAATATACTACACAAGAAGTGAAAAAGTTCCACCAGTTCCCGACATTATAACTATAGAAATGCCGGGATATAATTCCAGTAGGGGACCGAGGAGAGCAGGAAGTTATTCTGGCCACGGATTGTGGAGGAACGGGAGGAAGTGAAGAGTCCAGAGTGATTAGGTTGGAACGGAACGGGCTCCTAGAGAACGGGAGGAGAGTCCAGTCAGCCCGGGCTGACAAACGTTGTCACGGAGCCACTGGATCAGTGCACTGAAGTAAACGTGCAGTAAGTCCAGTTCGGCATAAGCTCAAGGACTCACGGAGCAGCAGCAATCTCATTTCCATGGTGAGAAAGATGGAGCGTTTGTCGTTTCGAAGCTAAGATTGTGGAGCACGCCTTCAGTGGTATGAGTTCTCCGGGTCGTTGAACGACGGAAACGATTACGGGAGTCATGGTACTTGAACTGGCGAGGAGTGTAGAAGGAGGAGCTGGTCGAGGCGGAGGAGGAGGAGGAGGGGAGACGTGCTCGATATGTCTGGAGCCGATTTCTGGAGAAGGTTTTCTGGATCAATGTTTTCGTGAGTAATTTGAACTCTGTTCTTTTTGACCCGTTGCCTGAATGGCAGATGTGATGCGCATGTGGTGGTAATAGATAGTGGTGTTTGGCTCTTCTGGCGTCTGGATGGATCGCCCCCTACATAGTTCTAACTCGTAGAAGGTGGTGGCCGCCAATTCAGACAAATTTTGCTACCATTGTATTCTGCAATGGTCCGAAATGGTGATTTCCCGGCCATCCAGCTCTAGTAATCGTTTGCAATATCTCGAGTGCCCTCTCTGCAAGGTAAAGATTTGTGAAAGCGAATTTGCTTCCCACTGTTGGTCCGCGAGTGGCTTTCTCTAGCTGTCAAAAGGCCATGAAAATGATAGCAACAATACTATGTCATTGGATCTTGGCTCTACGGTAATGGTAACTGGAATCTGGATCCAATGCTAATGTAGATATTGTGTTTAGGGTTTTTTTCTTTTATGCAGCTCGGTGAAAGCCCTTCAGAACAGTTTGTTACTGCTGAATGTTAACCAGAAATTTGTTGAATTGATGTGCAGACTCAGTACACATCCATAATTCATGACGTGTCCGGGGTCAAATTTCAGCGGCACTACATTCTCACCTCCCGCGTACCAGGGTCTGCTTCTGACTTCTAAGGCTTGTTAATCAGCTGCATTTGAAAATTTACCATGAAATAAGAAATTCATTTCATCAACGTGTTATCTTTCAGGCAGAAGATTCTGACTCATGTCTTAAGTCAATACCCGTTCTATCCTTACTGGCTTTTGTTTTCCTGTGTTTTAGGCCTCTCAAGTCAGAGGCGCATATACGACGACAGGCAGTATATGCAAGTAACTCAGGTAAGTTCTAACATTCACACTCCGCTGCGAAATTTGATTTCACTTCCAGCAAGACTACGAATGTTTTGGATGAGGTCGTTATGGGGCTGAAAACGAGTTGTATTGTTGTTATGAAAACTCACATTCCACAATACGTATGCTGTGTGGTGAAGGTTGTTGGAAACCTAAGTATCCGAGTATTAAGCTTATTGTTACTCATTGTAATCTGTAATCTGCTTCTGAAGTACATCAAAATGTCTTAACCTGTTTTGTCCAAACGTAGCTTCATATAGTCTTAATAATACATGCAGATGTACCTAATTACACAAAGAACTTGTTTCCAGCTTCTCTGCAGCCATCAAGTTTGACTGGCCTCGTACCTAAGCCTAATCGATGGCTTTCCTGCTGGGTGCAACGTGAACTTCAGGCTCTCATGCAGGTGCAGCGTATTATAGAATATATATTCACTATATTTATGGGTTTTCACGATTTTTTGGGCTTCTTAGTAGTCTTTCCAGTGAAAGGAATGCCATAAATGTATAGGTTATATACTGAGATCATAGAATCCCGTACGTATTGATTCTGGGTGCTTAATTGTTTTTCTGCTCTGCGGTTGTCGCAATGCGCAGGAAGAGGACGTGGATACTGTTATGCACCATGTCGTTGGTATTGTAGAATCGTTTAGTTCAAGGTATGTCTCATTAGTTCGTTGAGTTTTTTGTTTTGTTCGGGCACGTTAGTTATGCAAAGAGCAATCAAACTAACCGTTTCGAGTCTGATAAATGCGAGTGGTAAGGAGCGCACACGCTGAGGGGCTAATGCAAATTATCATGTCACTCCTGGTACATTCATGTTAACAGGATTGATCGCTTCTTTATATTTCAGGCCAAAAGGGAAGCTCTCGTCCTCAGGAAGGGGAGGAAGGGGAGGAACGGAAGGCAAAGACTTCACTTGGCATGCTACAATCTCTGCAGCTGTAAGACCTTTCATTTTCGAATCCGCAGAACGATTTGCGGTTGAACTTGAATCCTTCCTAGTGTCTGGCTTGGACATCGCAGCCTTTGATCAGAGGAGTAAGTTGGCAGCTTGTGTACGGGATCGTGTGACACTTTCTGATGAAGAATTCACCCTCCCTTCACTAAAGAAAGACGGTCAGAACGCCTATGACCTCTATGATGAAGACGTTGATGAGGAGTTCGGTCATTTGATGGTGAGAAAGACGAGCAGTGAACTTGAAAGGTTTTCAAGTGAAGGTGAGCTAGTAATTTATTTGTTTGTTTGTGAAGGTGACTAATTTTAGTCTCTTTTATTACTTGCATTCCGTTTTGCTCGTAGATGAGGGTCAACAAATGTTCCATTCTGGTTACTGTATAACAATATCTTTTCCACTCATACGAGAAAAATCACATATGTGAAAAGATGGAGACATTTTGTAAAATGTAATGGAATTACTAAGTCAAGGTCCTCGACTTGTCACTTGGATAAGTTACACTGCTATGGTTCTCAGGTCGGAATCGTGTTTCAGAGTAACATTTCATCGGTAAATGCTACGCTCTTAGTGAACAGGATAACGGGTCAGTGTCTGTGGAACAGACTGGTGGGTAGATTTAACATAGGTACCTTGGTGGAGAACGTAAGAGTTCGAGATGTGACGAATTCTATGGTTTGGTGAGTCTCTGCAGAAAGGTCAGACACGATGAAGAAGGTCAGACAGGATGATGACACGGGAAACCAGGTATGTCGTTCATGAATTTGTTGGGCGAAATTTCTCATCCATCTGAATCAAAGCAATGAAGTCTTAGACATTTTAGTACTGGCTAACCCTGCTTTCTTCTGTTGGTGGCAGGAGCGAAATACCTCTCAAAGGGAATCTGCTTTTGATAGACCTGTGAAAAAAGATACCGGCAAACATGCTGTAAAGGATAGTACTCTGGATAGGGGAAGGAGCAAACACAGGAGCGAGTCGCGCAAGAAAAGGAAGAGTAGATCTAGTTCGAGTAGAAGCAGCACTCCCCCAAGGCATAAACGTAGGAAAAGAGACAAGAGTGTTAAAAGTCGTAGCCGGAAGAAGAGGAAACATTCGAAGAAAAAGGACAAGAAATCATCGCAAGAGCACAAGCGGAAGTCCCGCAAGAGTCGTTCTCGGAAGAACGTGAGCTCGAGCTCTGACAATAGCAGTTATTCAGAAAGTTCTAGAAGCGGCAGGAGTTTGAGTCCAGTTGAAAGAGGAGCCAGAAGGAAAGCGAGTAAGAGAGATCAAACCTTTGCTGACAATCCCATCAATGAGAAGACAGACATCAGGAAGACGCACACTCCTGATGATGAGCGACGTACACGAGATAGAAGGAAAAGTCCTCGTCGCTATCGATCAAGGTCTTTTGAACCTCGAGAAAAGGTCGAGAGGAAGCGACTTGACGGGTCTTCGTTGGAAGACTTTGGTAAGCCTCGACGCGCAAGACCGGGTCATAGAGGATCCCAAGAGTTTGAAAGGAAGGATAGGTACTCGACTGATGCAGAGGGACGATCATTGTCTCGCACTCCAGACACCAGGTATAGGGCGAGGCCTTTATCGATTGATGCAGAGAGGAGATCATTGTCTCGCTCCCCAGACGCAAGGTTTAGGACCAGGCCTTTATCTACCTCCATCAGTCCTAGGGTAAGCGCAGGCAGAAAGTCGTGGTATGGACCTGGTTCTTCATCCCCACACTCTCCGTCACCGATGGACGACGATCAAACCGTGAGGTGGGTACCATCTCTAGATATTCCAGCTCAAAGAGCAGATGTCGTTGAAGAAGATGCAAAAACGTTGGAAACAAAGTTACGAGAACAGGCTTTGGCAAACCTGATGAGGCATCTGAATCAAAAGAAAAACACGACAATATCAACTTCGGTCGGAGAACCCGTGGAGATTACTGCTGTAGATAAACAAACCCAAGAATACGAGGCTCCTCCTGCAATGAAGGAGCTGAAATCGTCTTCTTACATTTTGAAATCTGAAGTAAGGAGCTGTAAAGATGCGGATGAACGAGACGAAGACGGGGTTCTTGAGACTAATTCACAAAATGTCGACAAGGATGTGACCCACGTCGAAGAAATTGGTGATGATGCACATTCAGACACGGAACTCGTAACGCCAAGCATAGATAACACGAAGGGAAAGGGTGGTGTTGTGGAGCTGAGTAGCTCATTGGAGGCGGCTGAGGTGGCCATACCAGAAGATCTTCAAGCGTCTGGAGTTTCTTACGGTAAAGCAACGTCTTTAGAAGGCAGGGATATTGTGGTGGAGCTTGTGGTCGATAAGGAACCTTTTGAGTTTGATCTTCCTATCCGTGATAGCACAGCACCCATGTTAATTGCTGACCAGATAGGGCTGAAGAAACACAACACGTGTGAGGTCATGACAGAGGGAAAGAAGGGACTCGCGAAAGGGACACAGGAAGATGGTGATAGCTGTGTCCAGGAAGCATGTGATCCACAATTAGAGATACAATTAACGAAGTCACCCTTTGAATCGAGACAGACGGGTAATCTCTCATCTTGTTTCAAAGACATAAGCTCTGTAGGATCAAAAAAGTCTCCTGGACTTACGGAAGAGCCTTCTCCGATGGAGACTAGCAAATGTGGTGTCAATGAAAAAGTGGTCATTGTTAATCATGAAATCGCAGCCATTACAGTAGAGGACGGGGAACACACTGATTCTGCCATAGTTGACGAGGAGTCTGCAAAGAATGAGTCCACCAGCGAGAAGACACAGTCTTGTTTGAACGACGAATCGAAACCTGGAGCAAGTTCTACAGTCCGCGAAGACGGCGACGAAGCAGGGGAATCTGGAAGATTTCAACAGAAGTCCATGTCAGTATCTCGCGGTGGAGAGTCAGTTCAAGTAAGGACTTTTTTTGTTGGTCTTATTTCAACAAAGTATGCACTTTCTGGTTTTCGTGTAAGCAGCTTGTGCTTAAACTGTTGAACCTTGTGAGCACACCACATCAGACACATTTAAGGTTCATATGGTGGTTGCCCATCGTGAACGCACTGTTGTTCGTCATGTAGATAGAATCACCTATAAAAGGAGCAGCTAGGTATGATGAGATGGTGCTAATATTCAACTACAGAGCTTGTACATCAATTACTTGTTTGTTACGCATTTGCAAACAAAGCATTACGAAAGTCTTGACCTTTTTTTAAATCTCTTAGGTAAGTTACAAGGTGTACATTCCTCAACGAGCTGCAGCAGCACGAAGAAGACTTCAGCGATAGTGTCCAACTTCGACTTGCACGAGTATTACCGATTTGCGAATGTTGCCAGTGATGCAACTTTGAAGTATCGAAAGCAAAGACAATCTCCTGATATAAATGCAGTTCGTTGTGCATGAAGGTAAGATATCCTCACTGCACGCTATTTTCGATGATATGCTGTCTCTACTTATGACTGCAGTGGTCCCATTTCAAAGCAGCAGTATGTTGATTCAAAGCAGCAGCAGTAGTCGGAGGAAACATAGGCTTCCATTGAAAGGAGAAGTTTTTGGGTTTCAGCCCAGGTTGGGAGGACGAAATCGTTCCTACGTGTATGAAATCAGTTCCACACATTATTTTGGATTAGCTCAAGTGAAGATGGTCCACCAAAGAGGGCCTTTCTACACATGTCATTTGCTTCATGCCATTCATTGACGGACACAGACAATATTTCTATCTGAAGACTGGAGTAGAAAGGCGCTATGCGGTTCAGCAAGCCCGGTGCCAGACTGCGATCTTGTAGAGTTGCGTATTGTGTTGCACCCCGTTTCCTTCGTCGTTATTTGTTCCATAGAGAAAGCAGCACCCCTTTTGAAGCCCAATTCTTTTTAGGATAAAAGAATAGTTGCGGGTGCGGTAGGAACGGGGGTGCCCAACGAAGGAGGTAGAACAGTAGATAGAGAGCATATATTTAGTGAACGTCGTTTCAGACCAGCATTTTTGCTCATATTACGGTGGTTATGGTGGACTCCCACGCACCGATACATCTAGCGAAGTTAATGCAAATACCACTTCTGCGAGAAGCAAGCACTACTATTACTACTACCTGCAATTTGTTATGTCATTTAAGAAGATGTGGGAAAAACGCAGGGATCTTGGCTGCTAAGAGAGGTAAGGTTGAGGTTGATTTCCTAATTCGAACCGTGAGTGTAAATCTCTTCTTTCTTCGTAGCGTTGGGATTGAAATTTAAACGGTATATTATGAAGGTGAAGCTAAACCATAGTGTTGAAAGCTTGCGTGGAAAGGGTTGGAAGAAGTCAAGAGGACAATCTTAATTCCAGCTCTGTGACATATGATACAACTTTTTAGTTAAGTGCATTGCCGGAACTAGGCTTCTACTTCGGCAATCAGGTTTAAGCAGCAATTATCAATGGCACCGAAGTTGGAATCTTCCGGAGTAAATTATTATTTCAAATCACAACTTTCCCAATCGACAGGTGCTATACAAAATGTTTGCCAATTTTACCTTCAGCATCGAGGACTAGTTCACTACTCTCGAATTTATCTTAAATTGATGTGAATGTACAAGTCCGTACTGTCATCCCAAATCTGAATGTGGTCAAAATCTATGCAAAGGTGATTAATGTGCCTGAGTTGTACATTCTCAATTTTGTAAAGCGCCAAACCTTTGACGAAATTCATTCCGTGCTCTGAGTTGGACTCCTTTCACCCACTTGAATGCAAGTAACTGGAACGGAATCTATACAAGGAGGTTGCAATCTGTGGTGCAGTGATATTTGTGATATAATTTAACCTGCGTTGATTGGCTCATTATAAACCAACGATTGCCGGAAGGTTTTCGTCTGAGGTTAGTCGTCAGTCCTACGTTGTTGCCCTGCTCGTCATCTGAGGGCTGCAGTCAAGTTCATGCGGAGTGTTGTTTTAAAGTTCCGAACCTATTCACCCCATTTATGAGATAAATTGTTCAATCATTCACTCGGTACAGTGCGATTCGTTACGTTAGCAGACGTGACGATTTCTGACAGCAGGTAATGATAATTCCAAAGGGTTCTTAGACTTGACTTAACCTTCGCATTGAAGGAACTGGACCAAAATATCAGGTGGGTTTTTAACACGCATCCATGACATGTAAAAGTTAGCCAGTTGGAATTCACGGTGCTCAAAGCTCACGGCATCCCACCAAAGGACCTTGTCACTGGACAATGGTAATGACGAGGCCAGAAAAGAGATGGAGAGAGTGGGAGCGAGGAGCGAGGGGCGAGGGGCGAGGTCCAAGGTTCTAGAAGAGACAGTGAGAGGAACGAATTCTTTTAGAATCCGATCTCCATCTGATCCGTTTTTTGACTTGACTGCACATATTGTATTGGGAAAAGAGCAGGACGAGGAGACGGTGGTGGTCAACACGATGGAACGCACTGAATGATAAAAATGACCGAAGCCATCAACTCTGGTTCACGCCCAGATACTTTCGATCGAACTCACTCCATACTCCACGATGCTCCGACGTTTTACTACGAGACCTGTGATGACGAAAAGCGAGACTTGAGATCCACGAGGACGATTATCACGCTTCCACAGTGCCTGAGAGGACGAGCGCCATAGTTTCTTCCGTCAACGGCATCAGAGCGATCATTCATGATCATGTCTGTCCTTGGCTCAAATTCATTTCTCTTTTATCCGGGTTAGTAAAATGCACCCGTTTCAGCATCCCGCGGCTGCCTCCATTGGCTTGATGCTTGTCCACCTTCACTCTCAGAGACTGCTTCGTCCGTGTACACCAGCTGTAAGTTCGAGCTACAGCCAGTGAATTTATTCATTCGTTCGATCTTCTGTTTCAGTGAACGTGTTTTTCAAGCGTTTGCTATATTTCGTGGACACTGAAAATTGAAAACTGAAGGCAGAAGAAGATTGAATGCTTTCATGTGTGGGCATTGATACGATCATGAAATGGTCCAAACTTTATACTTTATTATCAGACAACTGAAGGCAGAGATCCGGAACTCCAGATCAATCTCTTGAGAGAGGCGAAGTCTGATGAGAAGGACAGAAATATACACACGCATAAATATAGACAGCTGTACGATAGCAGCTGCCTGTCATGAGCGAATCGTTCGACTAAATAACCATTTAGCCGTTATTCTGCCTACTGGCCTCCCTTCCCTGCGTTCTCTCGCTGATTCTCATCCTTGTCCAGCTTCTCATTTGCCTGCAACGTAGCCAAAAAATCTGTGCAATGACAACTTGCAGGGTCAGCATCTTATCTCTCGATGTGGACCTCCTTGTCTAATCCAGTACACAGTCCGGCTCCCGCTCTTCCCATGCCTGCAAAAGAACTGATCAACGGAGATGCTAGTCATTCCTGAAATGTTGGTGGTTGTTGATGATTGGAAGGTTGTCATTCCTGATCCTCTATTAGATCTTTTCTGACACGACAAAAGACATTCGTGAAGAAACATCGCTGGCTTGAAATCAGTTGATCACCTAAGAATCTCAAGATATACATGAATACCTTCATGCGAGACCTCTGTCAAAACCATCCAGTCATCCCAGGGAGACCTGCTAATCAGTCTGTAAACATCTAGCGAAATTTGGCTTTCCTCCATGGAAGCCACTCTCGGATTTAAACATCGAGTCCTGAAAGAAGTGGAAATCAGTGCGCGGAAATCTTCATACATTTTATTTGCCTCCTTCATTTCATTATCAAAAGACTCCTAGAAGAGGTGGTACACAACGTCCAAACTTAAGCCTGTCGGTAACCATCTACAGATTGAGTAATCACGACACAAATTCAGAAACTGGATTTACAGCAGATTGAAAATGTGCAGAGCTCGAGGTTGTACCGAAAATATGGCAGGGTCAAACAGCTGACTCGAGAATGATCGCAGATACTTCTCTGCACACTTGCGAGGGAATTCGACCGACTGTCGCAGCGAAGCAGCCACCAACTCCAGAAGTTGCAAGAAAAAGGGAAGAAGAGAGTCAAGATTGAAATTCTAAAATCATCTGAAAGTCTGAACAGTGAGTTTCAAACTTTCAATCTTACCTCCCTTCTGTCCCTTTTCTTGCTATTCCTGATACCCACCTCCAAACCTTGCTCTCCTCTGCTCTTTCCTCCCCCCCCAACCCTACCCTTCCCTTCCCCCTCCTCCCCTCCCTCCATTGCGCACAGACACAAGAATCCGGCCTCGAATCCTTACTGAACGTGGAATGTCCACAACCAGCAACTTCGAGAGAGACCGCATCAAAGTCTGACCAGCAACAGATACTACTGATCGGAACGTGTCTTCAGAAAGACTCCAAGCAGACCACCGAGGTCAAAGGCCGGTCACATATATGTACATAAACCTGTCGTGGACAAGTCATGAGAGTAGGGAGAGCAGAGCAGAGGACGGGGAGCGAGGGTACGCGAGGGGAGAGGGCAGGAGAGAGAAGTTCAGAAACTGTACCCAGCAAAGTTTATGGAGTTGCTTGCTGAACGGACTGCAAATGGAAGAGGGCGGATGCTGGCAAGTGGCGGGTGGTAGCTTTCGAGGGAGGTTGGGGGGACGGAAAGAGAGGAGAGGAGAGGAGAGGGGAGGTGAGGAGAGGAGAGGAGAGGTGAGGTGAGGTGAGGTGAGGTGTGGTGGGGTGCGGGGGGAGAGGAAGAGAAGGGCGGGGATACTTGTGGGGTGGGGGGGCGGCGGTCGCCCGCCTTAAGATCCCTGAGATCAAGAGAAAGACATGATGACTCATGCACGGTCTAAAGAAATCAATACCTTGCCTCAACAGAGTATTATGTATTAAGACATATTTACACACTCGTCCACGAGCCCGCCCACCAGAGAAATCACTCCCAAGTCCCTTCACCGCCCCTCGACGTCTGCGATTGATTTCAAGCTAGCTCCCAATGCCCCCCCATGATGTCCAGGTCGAAAACAGACACGTGCAATATGTGGCAAGCTGCCAACAGACCGGATCCGTATAGAGGAGACGTGAAACAATGGACGTTGTGATGTGGGCTTTGTGATACAGTTGTCCTGAACTGTAGATCTACAATTCAAAGCCCCTCTCTTCTACAGTTGGCAGACTGTCACCATAGTCAACAAAACTCACATGTAATCTCGCCAGGAAGCATTTGACAGGTGCCGAGTACGCTACAGACGTGATCTAGACATGGAGCAACGATACACCACCAGCCCTGACAAACGTCCTTCCAATAGAAGCCGAGGCAAGGTAATGCAAGCGAGGCCCGGCCAAGAGGCATAAGTGCATGTTGTGCTGCCCATACTAACTCCCCAAGGTACATCAATAAAGCGAGCGAGCGAGCAGCTGAACTCCACCAACAACAGTGGTCCATGTTACTGATCTTTTGCCGGCTTCAATGTCAGCTGAAAGGCCAGGGAAGCATGCTTGCAATTCCATAACTACGTTGCTGCTTCCGATCCGATCCAGCATGTCATGACTTGCAGCTGATAGCTCAAGGTGCATGATACTCTTCCCCCGGCGATACGAGTAGGTGGAATTTTGCTCCTCCCTTATTATATGCTCTGATATTCGGGTGTACAGTTCATTGAGGGCGTTCAAGTAGGTAGGTAGAAGGAGAGTCATGGCTTGTCTTGTCCCTCAGCGGGCAACTCGATTTCCCCAGCAAGTCATAATATCTTTTGACCTCAACTCGACCCATAACACAACGTTTGCACTGTGGTAAAAGAGGCACACACAGAGAGGAGAGAGAGAGAGAGTGGAGAAGGGGATTGTGATCAAGTGACTCGTAAGGAATCTGTCCCTCCGTCGATGTCTCCGAGTCATGCATGACATGACAGGCTTTTCTTAGTGGACTGTGTGCATCCTGCTCATTCATTCATATCTTCTACTCCTTGGAGTCTTGCCTACATGGTCGATTTGAAAGATTCTCGACTTCTGATCGACGGGTTCGTGCCTTTGTCAATCTACAACCTACTCTCGAGCTTACAATAAAATAATGCACGCGGAGAATTTGTTCATCATTTCAAATTCGGTGTCAGAGAATGGTGATGTTGTTCAAATTTACCGCACACGGATCAGAATTGTGGATCAGACCACCAGTGGCTGACCACTGTAGCCAGCAGCTGCAGCAGCAGCTCTCTGAGTGTTGTATGATCCTCCCAAAGTCAGCCAGGACACAACTCCCTACACGGGCGACGACATACACGACCGTAGTGAAACTACAGCGGCTGATGATTAGCAGCAGCCCATAACAACACAAGGCATTTGGCCAGATCCGTGCACGCTGCCTTGTCCCCGGATGATGGCACTCGACAGGAACATGCCCCTCCTGCCAGTCCACTCTCGCTATGACAGATATGCCTCTTCTTCCCCTTGAACGGACAAGAGTCCAGCGGTCCAGGAGTCAGGACTTCGATGGAGAAGTAGACCAAACTCACTCCCGGCCTGCTCTTTACCCTCTTCTGAAACTATTGTCCTCATCGTAATCGATATTGATACTATGTGCCAAAGCATCGCAGCTGGATTCTGCTGGTATCTGCTGGTATCTGCTGGGATCGGCTGGTTTCTGCTGCCGGATTGGGGCAACTCGGTTGTTTCGACACCGCAAGGCTGGAGCCTCGGAGGCCCAGCTCCTCCGGGCTCTTTCTCGTGCATTACAACGTTCCCCTCACTCTCCAGAACGCCAGCCTACGTGCAGTGTTTCTGGACTTACAGCAGCTCTCGATCTGGCCCGGCCGTGTGACATACTGCTCTTCTCGTAGGCCTCTCCCCGGACCGACCTGAGCTCAAGCCTGAACGGAGCTAACCGAGAAAATTTGCCGTCCCAGAGGTGGCTGCGGAGCCAGCTCGCAAACCAAAGATGCCGCTGGTGTGCCCACTGGCCAGTACATATGAAAGAGAACAAACTGGCCCGAGGCTCTAGATTTCCACATTTGCTCTGTGATTGGTTTTGAAGCATTTGAGGTGGATAGGATTCGAGATTAGTATAGAGAGAGAGAAAGAGAGAGAGAGAGAAGAGAGAAATTAAGATTCACATGCGAGCACGCATAATGTAGCTTTCATAGGTTTGCTTTGTGGTACATCTGATCTGAGTCCAGCGCATCGAACTGAGATCGAGGCATGACTTTTGTGAGGACAGAGTCGAACAATCGTCGGTCGGTCGGTCGATGTGTGTAAGGACTTGGTGAAGTACATCTCTCTTCATGGTTACTCTAAGCAGTGGATTCGATTTGATCAAAGAATATAAGATTCTTCCTCGAGAATCTTGCTCTGGAGATTATTGCCGTTAGAGAACGCGGTGGGTGAAACTTTGATACGCGACTCTCTCTCAAGAAACCAGGTCGTGATGAATCTTTTCATAAATGCTCCTCTCTCCGATCTTAGATTCTTCTTCATTTTCCCGGCCAATATAATTGGAACGTCGTATGTACTAGGTACGTATTTTTCTGTGGAGATGTATCATGTTGACAATCTGCTGAGAAGGCAGAGACAGACTCTCTCGTACCTTGAGTTAATAAAGAGACTCTTCCTTTCTACACCATGGCACGGGACTAGACCGTACCCTTGTTACCGGTGACTGATCTATCTCGAACCTGGTTACTGGTTGCAGCCATGAATGTCAAACGAGCCCCATCGAAGTAGACTGAGCGAAGTCTTCATCACGAGGGTAAACCAAGAATTAACGCTAATCCGAGAAGAGTGGAGAGATCACTCCCTCACCGCATACAGACATTTGCAGCATTCCAATGATCAAATCATACGCGGAATCCGAAGAACACAATCAAAACATTATAGACGTAATCACTCTCTCTTTCCCCACTTATTGATTCAGTTTCTCAAGAAAATCGACGAGGGCCAGGGAGATAGGAACTAAAATCATCACCAAGCCTTAGACCACAATAACAACATTCCGATTGCGAACATGCATGTCTGGGAATCGGGAGGCGCCACCAACCACTCTCGACACATACTAGCGTGATTATTTTGGCATCCATCCACCAGCAACAGATCAGACATGGGCGAATTGGGAATGGCTTCTCGAGGAGACAAATGCCTGGACGTGGTTTGGTACGTGGTACCGAGTTGTATAATATTCCAGGTCGATGAGTTTGAGGTTCCCGTAATTTAACGCAATCATGCGGCACGCATTGGTTTCTGCCACCACATCCCGAGGCTTGACTAGCTACCGTTACAATCTCTCTTTGGTATAAGATAGTATCGAGGAAGCCAACATTGTTATGTGTGATTGATTGCTCATTTTCCTGGATATGCAGTCATTGACCGGATAACATCAAATGTATTTAAGTATAGGGGAACAAAAAAAAGTCAATTCATACTGCATTTGGTTTAAGATTTATTTGGAACTTAATCTATCAAGGAATCCACTTGTGTTGTTACTTTGCTCTAATACTTAGTATTACTAGTCGATATATTTATTTACTTCACACGATTACTGCTTCATTGAATTTTCATTGGGCTTGACATCATTTTAGCTAATACTATGTCATTCAATTTATAATAGATTTGACAGCATTTCATAATCGTCATGAGAGCAATGTACCATGAAGTTGAAGTGTGTGAAATGAGTTTTGGCAAAAAATCATATATATATATATATATATATATATTCCAATTATCATGAAGCAAGGTGGAGTCTGTAGACATCTCTTGCATCTCTCGTATTTTTTATTGTCAATAGGCTCATTGTTTGCATATATGCAAGGTAATTGAAAAGTGGTCATTTTGTTCACATGTATTGTTAAAAAATGTAAAATCATCAGATACAACATGAAATAATGTCTCTTTTGGTACACTTATTAGACTAAAGTCGTTGAATCTATCTTGATTTACAGATAATATCAACGCAATCTACACACTTTCTTAATTATAATGACAATAATTAGTGATACTAGATCATTTTCACTAGCATCACATAATTTTATACAAAGATGAGGTTTAGACTTAGCTTGTTTGATCTACATCCGTCTTCCTTATTTACATATGAATAGTATACATCATGGTCGATACTGGTTATTTATTTGATAGGTATAGGATATGGACACATGATTTCCCAACAACTATGTGATATTATAAAGTGAAAGGTTGGATATCACATATTGAGTAAACGTTGTTGATATGTGTTGGAGTTGATAAGGTTCTAACATAACTATATTGAAGTTGAAAGCATCAAACTTATTATATATATACACACACACACACGAGAAGTGAACAAACTTTTCCAAGAATATGACTATCAAGAAAGTTATATTCCTTGTTTCAGTATGTTTGAATATTTATCAAGCTACGTAAATTAGCTCGTTTGTAGGAAATAACTCAAAATCTTAACATAAGAAAAGATATACACAATCATTCTTCATAACTATATATTAGACACATGTATCCATTGTTCTTTGAAGAAAAACTAGTTGTTGAAATTATTAGAAGAGCAAGCACTCTAAATGTTGGTTTTTTGTATGCTCATATGATTGTAGACTATTTTTCCCATACAACTTAAGTATACTTTTGATGTGTAGTTTGAAATACTTTGTGATGCTATTTTGACCTAGTCTCATCAAACTTTTTGGATCTATACAAGTGTGGATGATAGTACTGTAATATTTCTACATATTTACTAATTTTCATGAAAATTCATATTGTTCCATATTTATCTTGAAGAATATCGTTTTAACAATAAACTTTCATTAGGATCAACCTTGAAGAATTCATTATTCATGATTTATATCTCCTTTGTAATCACTTGGCTTTTAAGCATTTTGTAACACATAAAATCTGTCCCATCATTCTAGTCGTAGCAACACATTTATACTCAAAGAATGTACATGACTTAGATTGATTAATTAATCATATGCAATATCAAATAATTCAAATATATTTTATTAATATTCTATTATAGATGTATAAGATGAACAATTATACATCTTAAATACAAAGGATGTTTACATGATTACATCTTCATTTAAAAGAAAAATTTTAACCTATTGAGAATATGAATAGATATGTAGTATTAGCAATGATTTGTGATGTATATTTCACATGGAGAGATTATTGATATGGGTTGCATTTGACTTTTATCAAAATAAAATACATTGGTTAACTGATTATAACAAACAGATCACCAAAATTAGTTTCAAATACACATACATTAGAAGGCTAAATACCTACTTTTTTTTATTGTTGCAACAGATTAAATTCACATCATGCTAACAACACATCGCACATAAATCATACTATATATAAATATAAATATATATATATATAGAACTTTATTTTATACAAGCAATATTATAAACTTGTCATGTTCTAGCAAGTTGAATGATGATTTAGAATATGAAAATTTCAAATAGCTTGTTGAAATATTAAAAATTTTATTCTGGAACTTTAGAATAAATGTTGAATTCATTGGAGCGAAATCACATATGCCTTTTGCTTGTTCTCTTCACTTTATAAAATAAATTATCAATTTGTGTATCTAATAATATAAATAAATAAATAAGTTTAATTTTGAGAAAACCATCAATTTATTTCTAAATGAAGTCTCTAAACTTAGGACATTCTGAAGCTCATTATGACTATCAGTATCGTTGGAAACATTCATATAGCCTTTGCTCAATTTTTAATACATCCTTTCTTCTATTAGCCTCAAATCTCTACTCTAGTGCATGTAGATCAAGGGTAAGCAACAAAGGATTTCTAGAATATATCTCAAGAGAGGAAGGGTCACCTACGATCTTCTGAGGGGCTACGTGTCCTTTCATCACATACACAATATTTTTTAATTTTTTGAAAAAAAAAACATAAATAAAATATCTGAAGGCAGAAAATCATCTGTTCTCATCTTCGAACAGTTCAACCTTAAACCCACTCAGAGCGAGATCGATCGAGTGTGCGTTCATTCCCAAGGGAGCTGGTAATAATGTTCCTTTGTGACAAAGGCATCGCTCGGCCCTTAAACAAGGCGAAGAACTCCGTGACACAAAGAAGACTTTCGTCTTGGCTGCAGTACAGGCAACGCATTTAACTTGGAGACATGACTCTCGGAGACTCAGGGATGGGACTCGGGTTAACGACCTGGACAAGTAGAGCTTCTGTAGCCTGTTAGCGGATTCCAGCGGGAAAAGCGAACGACGTTTTCCTCCGAGGAAGGAAAACCATTTCGGAGCTACGAGGACGATTTGGACAGATTTCCATGCGATTTCGAATGGGCCGAGGTCCCAGACCAGATCAGGTGGAGGCGGAAGGAGGCTGCAAGGTTTGCGTTCAGAAGGCAGAGTGAAGCGCGAAGGTAGCGGAATTACGATTCCGTTGTGATTTTGTGGTGTAACGCGGTTGATTTCTCGCATTGCTGCCTCGTTGCGTAGCGCAGAGGGAGGGAAATTGGTTCCTTCGGGTTTTATCTGAGCAACGTAACAGGCTGTCTGTGAATGCGATCGATGTGATTGAGCCGGGTTGGGTCTTTACTTCGTGTGGGGCTGAGCTTCAACTGCGACTGCGATCTGGAGAAGGGGAGAATATTAGAAAATATTGTGTAGTTTGAGGGTCGCAGAGACGGAGAGCAAGCCGGAGGAGTAGTACATTGTATTTTCCTGTGCCTGATTGGCACATTTTAGGATGGGGCTTCTTTCAATTATCAGAAAGGTGAAGAGAAAAGAGAAAGAGATGCGCATTCTGATGGTGTATGTTCCTCCTCTCCGTGTCGATTCTCTTTTCGCAGGTGAAAATGACAGTTTCAGGTTGAAATTTTTTCCTACTCTTTCGCAAGATTGCGAAAGTTGGAAAACTCAATTCTTGAGTGTCGATGAATTGGCTTCCTGCTTCACCAATCTCTAAATATCCTTCCTACATGTTGGTCACAGAGGGCTAGACAACGCTGGAAAAACCACTATTGTGAAGAGAATAAATGGCGAGGATACCAGCGGCATCAGCCCTACCCTTGGATTCAATATCAAGACTATGCAATTCAAGAGGTACCAAATTGTCCGCCTGATTTTCGTCTTATTACATGAACCCTAACTATGGCCAGCTATAGCAGTACCTTTCTTAATATAAATGTCCATACACCTACCATGTTTTTGCGCTGGAAATTCGCTCTTGTGATTCTTCGTTTCTTACGAACCATGTTTCTCAAAATCAGTAGAGCGAATAAAATTTGAACTTTAGTTAGCTGACACCTTGGTCTTCGAACCTGTTCCATAACTTTCTTAGTCTGGAGGAGACTTCGAAGACCTGTGGGGTATCACTCAACCGGTAATTTCCAAAGGGTAAATTATCTTCTATGTTGGGCCTACAAGCCAGCACTTGTCAGATAAGATATATACGATCCTCATAACAAGCAGAGCAGAAGCAGTCTCTGAAAATTGAGGAGTGTTGAAACGTTTTGACTGTCCGTCAAAGTGTTTCACAAGATTTGGGTTTCTTTCAATGGAGGGTCAGTTTCGCCTTAAGGTGACTAAACTTGGTTGTTACTTTGGACAACTTCTGAAGGTAATGTTTTGTCCATCTGCACAGTTATCGTGTCAACATTTGGGATGTTGGAGGGCAGAAAACTCTTAGGTCGTACTGGAGGAACTATTATGAGCAGACAGATGGGATGGTCTGGGTTGTTGATAGTTCTGACATTCGGCGTCTACAAGACTGCCGAGAAGAGCTTCACGGCCTTCTTCAGGAAGAGGTATGACATTTCTTGAACATCATCTTTGTCCATTTGGCTTAAGTTGCCGATGTAAGTCTCATAAGCTTAAATTTTTGTGGGGAGTGAGAGTGACTTTTGTAAAGACTTTAGTGTTATTCTCTGTTTTATATCATTATACAAATCCCAACCAGAGAGTGGTGACTGCCGGAGTAAGCTTTCTGTCAGTAGGTTTTTATTCGATCCTCATGCATATTTTTAAAAACGGACGACGTTCATTTTTTGTTGCTTTCTTAGGAAGTGTGAGCACTGTGATCAAAGCTTCCCACGGTGTTTTAAGCAGAGAGGGTAACATCGTTTCGTGTGATTCTTCTTACAGAAACTAATGGGGGCCTCTCTCCTCATATTTGCGAACAAACAGGATTTGAAGGGATCATTGTCCCCTGAAGACATCGCTAAGGTGATCTCAAGCGTAATTACTTTCTAGTATTGCGAGGTGGTCATATTTAGATTCGGATATTCTGTCATTGTGGAATGCAAATAGTCATTGGCGTTCGATTGTTGAATCTTCTTTGTTTGATCCTCTTTCAAACTGGTCTGTTCTAACCGCTACATCTTTTACACGATCAAGTTGGGTGTCTTGTATTTAAAGAGCCGTATTCGTCTTTGCATTTGTGGCAGGTACTGGACCTCGGACTCATGGACAAAAGTAGGCATTGGCAGATCGTCGGTTGTAGTGCTGTTACAGGCAAGGGACTTCTGGATGGGTTCGATTGGTTGGTATCGGACATCGGTTCCAGAATTTACATGCTGGACTGAGAATGAAGTGTCCTGTCGAGCTTAAACTAGAACCGGAGCTCAAACTACCCTCCTTGGTGACGGTGTTACCCTGTTTGCAGTTACTGCACGGATGGAACCTAGTTGACCATTCAACGTCGTGTGGCTTGCTGCTCTTGTTTCCACATATGCTCACAAGGTTCTGGATGGCCCATACATTAGCTGTACCACCGTTCAGTCCACCGAGTAACTTTATCATTGTCGGTGCCTGAAGTGTCACGAACTTGACCAGCTGAGCACTAAAGCGTCTTGCACTGTTGTGTTTCATGGTGAATCCAAGAGGACGTCATTCGACATCAACTCATGTGAACTTGGATGTGCCAGGAGCTAGTGTGTAGTCTTACTTATCCAGTACTTTCGGGAACTGAAAGGGTCAGTTAAGCAAGGCTTTGTGCCGCGATTATTATATCCCTCTCGTTATGAACTCTGCGGGAATCGTGTTCACCTGAAGAGCTACTCAGTGGATTAATTATCACTGGTATTGATCAGTGATATTGAACTAGAAGTACAGTCCGACTCACTGGCTCTCGAGCCAGTGAGTTGTTCTGACGAAAGACTGAGCTCATGGTACTGTGATAGCTGGACAAAGTATACTTCGAGGCAGTCCAAGAGGAGTGTCTCATTGAAGTGGCCATGTTAGAGCCCTCATGATTGTAAAATATTGAGATGATTGTACACAAGTGATTCTATCAGTGAGTTCCGTTAAGCGTGACCACTATGCCTGGAGGAATGTTATACGTGTGCCACCATCTGAAGCAGACCTTCGTCTGGCTGATAGCAGGCGCTTGTATTCATTAGATGTGGACTTACTGTGCAAGAATAATGATCATCTCAAGTGTACTTCGGTGACCAATCATAGCGAGGAGAGTCGGCCAAGGTAGGGCAGGTGAAAGTTGTGACAGCGGAAACGAAAGTGTTTATCCAATCACAGAAAATGTCTGAGGACCGTTGTGAGTACCCGCTTCTCAAATCACCAATAGCGATGGAACGTTTCTCCTCCATGTGCTGCTGGGTGGGCCCAAGGAAGCCCACATTTGTCCAGACTGTGAGTAAGGGTGAAAAAGCAATTGCGTTATATTGGAGAACCGCTGTCGCAATGATGTAAATTCTTCGCTGCTGGTGGTCACAAATCGGGCTACCAGCATAAATCTGTGCTGGAGGGGGAAAGGACATGTGCCAAAGTGGGATCGGTACAGCACATAAGTCATGTCGTCGACTGGAGTCCCGCAGTGCTGCACTGACTGCGTCGCCTGGGAATCACTTTTCAGCATCCACCGCGCCCTCATCACGTTCTCGGCAACTCAACCCTCTTCTGAAGCTGTAGCTTCAGCCTCGTGCTCTGGAACTCTACACTTCCTACGCTGGAATTGAGTCCATCTACCCCCAAAAATACTCGCCTCTTCCCATTTGCGAAACTTTTCATGATCTCACATCCCAGGTCTAAAATATTTTCTGCAGCAGTGAAATGTCTGCCTGATGGAGTGAAGGGTTTGAAGGACGACCACGGGACCAGGCAAGTTCAGTCAAAACATCAGAGATTCAGATCGGGCAGCTCCTATCATCTCGAAGCGTACCGATTCCCTCGGCCTCATATTCGGTGGTCGATGTACGAACCACAACTCCCGTCCCTATACTCCGTCTCCTAGAAGCAAGAAGTGCCCGTCCCCGTAGTTCCTGTCTGCTCAATGCGAGGTTCCCATTGAGGGGTTCTCTAGAAACGGGGGGAGCCGGTCCGGCCGTAGATCTTATGAGCGCTGCCAGGCTGCCTCGCACCTTCTCGATTCCCGGTCACCGGGACCCCCCCGAACCCAACGGTCGGCTTAGGCACGTGAGCTTCGCCGGCGTTACCTTCCTCCCGACGGCCAGCACCTGTCCCTTACCCCCGACCGCTCTCTGACAGCGCCGTTAGTGGACCCTACCAAAGGCTGCGAAGTCGCGTCTCGGCTATATTTGGCAGTCCCCCATTCGTGAGCTAGGGACCTGTATCCGAACAGGGCCAGTGCCTCTTGCCTCCAGACGCCCTGGTATCTCTTAAACCTCCGCTTCCGGTCACCGTCAAACGCAAATATCGTACAGGACGGACTCGAACCGGAATATTCGCACACACGTATTCCAAATGACGCGGTGATCATAAACTCTGCTGCATGGATGGGATTCATGGACATGCTGACAAGAGTGGAGGCGGAGGAGACGAATTCCTCGGCACCACTGTCATGTACAGCTCCCTCGCGACGACGTGGTCATTTTCATGATTATTCATGACGCCTCCCATTTTATGGTCCCATGGTACGTGCGACGAAATAGTAAACGACCAACATTCCAACGTAGAAAGTCGCTGGGCCGGGCTTGGGCTTGTGGGTTCCCCGCCCTTTGGGCATCTGCAACACACACCAGAAGATATCAGACGGACCGCTTCGAAACCGGTCACGTGTGACCAGCTCCAGGAGAGGAGGCGACGCGACCCCCAGATCGGGACGCCACCAGATGGAAGCCATCGGGTCGGCTGACGGGTGACGACAAGAAACTGCAGTAGAGTAAACTAGAGTCGGGTCAGGGTGGGGTCGGGCCAGTGGCGACTGGCTACCCGGGTTCGGGGCTCATGCAACTATGGTCTGTATAATTGGATTCTTCGCTGATTGAGTAATATTATACCATATAATACCAAGGGAGGGCCTAGTTATCATTCACTTTGGGTTCATTAGCTTTGGGTCATTTGTAGATACTTAAAGTTGCATTGGCATTACATTTACGGCGGTTATCATCGCTAATGCGGTTCTTCCAATCGAAACTGTAGCATATAATTCGACCCTAAAAATATATCCCGGCGTCCAAATTTTTATTAGGGATCCATTCATACATCCGCTCCGTCTCTCAATGCTGTGGATTGTTCATTCTGCTCTCTAGTTCTCTCTAGCCTCCGTGAAACATCTCGACACTATCGAGAGTGCTGGAGAAAGTCTTCTGAAATGGACGACAGGTGGGAACAATTTTTTTACTTGGACTACAGATTTTTTCCGACTGCTTTGGTTTAAACAGTAAGAATTATGGTGAGATTTGGAGGTGCATGCCGATTACATATGGACATGCATGGATATAATAGTCTCCGACTAAATTACCTAAATACGTATAATTTAGTCTCCTCGAAAATATTACTTTAGTCTTTTCAAAAACATAAATTTAGGCGAATTTAGTCTCCTTACAAAGTTCATATAAGCTGATTTAGTACACTAAAAAGGTAATTTAGACCAATTTAATTGTTGAAATTTAATTTAGGCTAATTTAGTTTACTAAATATTTTTTTCAGAGTAACAAAAAATTAAAAATTTTTTCCTAAAAAATTTTCATTAATGTATAAAAAATAAATTAAAACATCCATCAATTCTGCATACGTGTCCACTCTCCATTGGTTATAACATGTACCCCCAAATCGTAACTCCCTTAATTTAGTCGCATAATCACCATAAAGTTTAGGTAATTTAGGTGACCGTATATACGGTCGCCTAATACAACAATACCTGCATATGGAGTATTTGTATGGCCAGCGGACAAGGCCCTGTAGAGCCTATCACATCAAGGGTTGTACAAGCAGGCAGTTAGTGAGGTTTACGAGAACCTTTGAAGTATCATCAATTTAAGTGAGAGCTAATTAGCTAAAAATGAAGTATAACTAGCCACTCCCTAATACCAAATGTATTATACAATATTCAAAAGTACACCTCATATGTTATCACTAGTTGATGATACCCTCGTCCATCATCTACTCGGCCTCAAAGATATCCTCCTCTTGATGCACTCCAAAATATCAACGCGATCAAGTTCAGTTTCATATAGGCTATCAACCTTCTAACTTCTCCCGAATGTCATCTTTTGGGTTCCACGTTTCGAGTAGAGACGGTTACAAATCTGAAATCTTACACTTGTAGCACCCCAGCAACACTTGTGCGGACTCTAGGGACTCCACTAAGTATTTTTTATTATACAAGGTATGGTTTGGGAGCTCTGTATAATACGATGTCAGAATACCCTAGGTATAATACCACAATTATACACGCAAAACAGACATGACCGGAATCGGGCCGGGTCCGGCGGGGCGGGGTGGGGTGGGGGGGGGGGCTCGGTCACGGGTACCAACGGTGGTTGGCGGGGCCGGGACGGAGCTGGCCGAGGGACGGGTGCGAGTGACTGGAGTGGACTATGGAAGATGACGTCAAGCGGGAGGCGAACTGCTCGCTCGAGCTTCTGCTTCTATCACTGGCAGCGTCATCGGATCGATGGTCGATCAGATGGGGGTACAACTTTCCGCATCTGGATTCTAGACCTCGCAGCAGCAGCAGCCGAGTACCCGCTGCTTGGGCTTCGGCGCATTGGACCCTCGGTTCGGGAGAGCCCCTTGGACCCCACCAGCATCCTCTGCTCCTACAGCTCAGAAGAAGTCAGGCCCCCGCACTCCATGGCCCGAACGCCTCTCCATACGCAGTTCATGCAATGCGAGGCTGCGAGGGGCGACAGCTCTAGAGAGAGACAGAGAGAGCAGAGGGGCGACCGGGCCCCTCCGTACCTCGCCCGCTCCAGACCACTTTCTAGCGACTCCCGCCTGGACTCGGGCGAATCGGGCGACTCGGGCCTCCTCCGTGTTCTCGCCTGCTGCCGCAGCGGCTGCTTGCTTGTTGTGCTGTTGTCAATCTCTGTCCGTAGTAAAGGCCTTTACTCCTGCGCACTGTGGCTCGGCTCCGCTCGGCCTGGCCCGGGCCCGAGAGGATTGGGTGTGCGTTTGATCGTCGAGAGTGCGTTCCCTCTTCGCAGTTTTGGCAGACTAGCACTTTTCGGTTTTTCGAGTTTTGTGGTTGGTCGCTGGATGTCGTGGATGCTGAGGATCTCCTTTATTGTTCCCTTTTTTTGTGGGGTGGTAGTGGGATCGGAGGGGTGTATTTTCGGCTTCCCTCGTTGTTCATGAATAGAGGAGAGTTGATTGGAATTGTGGAAAAGCGAGCCGAGGTCGCCAGCGAGGGACTCGACGGTGGTTGGAGTTCGCTGCAGTCAGTGAAGTTAGTGAGGACGGAAGGTCGGGTTGGTCTGCAGAGGCAGCATGAGGACCGTGGGAAGAGTACATTGCCCATTGCAGACAGTAGGCATCGGAAGTGGTCTTTCGCGAGTGAGCTGCTCTGTTTCATCCTGCCCTGCCGCTGGTGTTTGCTGCTGCTGCTGCTGCTGCTGATGATGATGTTTTAGAAGCGATGCAACAGCTCGCATTCGGGCATCGAACACCAATGTAGCCTTGCTTGCTGCCGTGGATTCTGTTCAGCTCAGATCAGGTCTGCACAGTCGTACTCTAACCCAAGTTCTGGCTGCAGAAATGCCGTCGAGGTTCAACAAGACGAGCGAAGCTGGGTCCAGGTCTTTGGGTTTAGGAACATCCGAGTGTGGGGTCCCCTCAACTCAGCGTCTTCTCAGTGTCTCACGTGTTAGTAAGACATGCCGCCGTCACATGGTTTTCGAGAGAAAGTACTCTCGAGTTCATGGCCTGCATTCTCGTCTCTCTCATAGACTGCGACAGCAGTGATCTCTGCCGACGAGTTTTCTCCAGGAAGGAGTTCAGAGCTGAAGTGAAGGACCTACAGGATCATATCGACACGCCTGGATGATGAATGGTGAGGATGGGCTGTCAATCTTGATCCATCAGAGAGTCGGGGGAGTGTTGCTCCAGCTCGACCGGACTGCAACGTTGGTGCTTCTTGCTCACACCCATGAATCTTTCTGAAGCTGCGTATCGTCGTCCTGTATTTCCTGACGTGGGAAACCCGGAGTGTAGTCGTCGCAGTCGCCTCCGCCTCCTCCTCCTGCTCCTTGCCCAGCTGCCAGCCAGAAACCTAAAATGGCTGTCCTGGCCGACTTCTTCATCTACTGCATCGCAGCTGCCGTGGACGTGATGTCGTATGTTCTGTTCCAGATCGTCTGCATTCTGTCTCTGGCCGTCTATCATGTGGTAAAACTGCCGGGCTTCTTGGTCTACCAGCTCATCAGCTCAGCTCTGCTCAGCATCCCATCCATTATGGACTACTTCGTCAACGTGGTCGTGAGCGTCGCCCTGGAATCGACGCTGCAAATCACAGGAGCCACCTTCACGGCAGTTCAAGGATTTGTTGTCATGCTCGCCAACATTTTCTACGATCTCTTCACGCACGCCCACACTGCCCTGTTCGAGTTCATCACCTTGGTCGGTACGTGCATGGTGAATGTGTTCTGGGTGGGAGGGATGTCTCTGCTAAGCATCGGGAAGAATTTCACCAATGCTCTGTACGAATTCCTCACCAACATGTAGAATGTGATGCGCATCGTCCCACATTATCTACACCCATGCTATCAAGTACTTACCGCAGCTCGTAGCTGACTTCTGCATCCCACTTGAGGACCTTCTGCATCCCACTTCAGGGAACGTCATTGATCACCAATTCATTGATATTGACCTTCCAATCTCTTCCTCGGATCTGCTTCTGGGGCCATACAATCAGGATCATGACTCCTTAGTGCTCACAAAGGTCCACGTGAGTGTGTGGAGGTGGATGCCGATTTAAGGATCATTAGATACAGCGTTGTGTATAGTTCGTATCATCCACGGTGAAGAAAAGGAATTTTGATGAGGGTGACGCTCGTTCTTATTCCACAACCATCCCGATTGAGGTGTTAGACTCTAGCGTCGACGGAATCCGTCCCAACTGCAGGACGAGTCATCGTCTGGAATAGGTGTAAGAGTCAGAGTGACGGCTGGTTGCTACAAATGGACGCGCGGCAAATTTTATTACTTGATTGCGATACATGCTCCCCGACCATCAGAGAGCAGTCGAGAAAGTCGACTGCTGCAGGAGACAGTTCTTCGAGGTAAGACTGTGTGTCAAGCCCTAGATGCCGGAGTGATGGCGTTCTCGACTCTGAACTCTTCATCTCTCGTGTGTTCCCTGGGGATAAGACATTCCTAGGAACAGAGTTTGTGCATATTATTCCCGTCAATTTCAGTGCTGATGTCCAGTTTCTCAGTGTGCTGTGATTCTCCAGCGTATGTGGATTCTTGCATTACGAAATCACGCCGCTGGTTGTGAGGGAATGATTGCACCTTCGGTGATGATTCAAGTGGGCAAAAGTGCAATATCATATGCCACACAGCCCAGGGGGAGCAGCTGCACGTGCCGTCGTACGACAGTACACAGCTTCCGGTCGCGACGCGGAGACTACACAATGGTTTTGATAATCCTCAACTATGATTATCCGAAGGGATCAGACGAAAGATTCCGTGTTATTAGAAGGTCGATTCTTCGGAGCGAGAACTCCGATGTATCTTTTGTGAGGTCTTAGTCCGGTCGAGTGCCGACGCTTGATAGGCGTGAGGTGAGTTCTCGATCCTTCGTAACATATGCGTAGCAGCACTTTTTCGCCTGCTTGAACCCTAAGGATCAAGTCATGGCAGGAGGAGCCTTCAGCTCATACGTGACATAACTCACCAGTCCTCCAAATCTGGATGAGTTTTATCTCACCCAAATGGCATTGGACTGAGCTTTGCCACCACTCTGACCATATCAGTAGGAACATGTGTAAATTTTTAGTGTTCTCAAAGGTCGGTGGTAAGTATCGACTTACGAATATTAGAATTATCATTGGAGACTCAAACCCGTGTGGTTTAAGATCACTTAATGCGCAGCATCGTGTTTATTTTCCATTTAATTGTTATGGCGCTGTGATGCCCTGTCAGCCTTGGACTTGTTTCCTTGCAATTTAAAGAGCTCCTAGAATACTGTAAACCATCACGTGTATTTTCATGTTCGTGCATGGCATCAAAGTGGTATGGTGTAGTCTTCAATTGGTTGAGCAAACACGTAGTCTGAGAAGGGAACTTCACGGTGGGCCTGGACAGTAACACTGTCGCATGTCCATATTACTAAATGCTCGGTCACGATACTGGGTATCTTTTCGTTCCGAGCTTTGTGTCCATACGTACTACAGATTGTGGATAGCATCGGTGGATAGTATTCGAGGTACCCGTAATTGCATGCGCGAGTAACTTTCTCGCAAGACGGTCCCACTTGTATAATTGTGTTATAGAATCCTGGGGAATGTGCTGCATTGTGATTTCAGAGTGGGCCCAGCCTGCCCAACGCACACTGTGTGAGCAAATCGTGGGTTTGGTATAGTGTAGTTTGACAAGAAGGGAATCCTTAGTGAAGGAGAAAGAAATTTGGATAACTTGTAAAGTATCATATCTTTCACTTCGCTCCATGATCTTTCACATTGTTGCAATTAATGAGATCTTACAACTGACTTCATCTGTTATCATTGTTAACTTATGATCATTTCAGTACTGTTGAGTCTGTGAAGTGGGTGACCTCGTGCGTTTCTCTAATTTTCGAGCAGAAGACTCAAGTTTGGACAATTTGATGAAGCTGGAATCATCACGCTAAGTTAGTTCGAACAAAAGCTCACAGTGAAACTGGATTTGAAATCAAACTTGAAGGATATCTGAAGACCATTGTACGTCGATAGCAATGTTCTATTTATCAGTACACAACAAAGCATAAAAAAGTGGAAGTGGGTGAAAAGCGCTTGAGTTTCGAAATGACTATAGGACGAAAATGTGTATTCTTCGTCTGAAGGAATGATGAATCACCAGTTTGTGAGCAAAATACAGGACTGAAAATATTGAAGCCTACTTTTACTTCATAAGTGAATGATGGATTATATGTTTTACATAGCCAAATGGAGTGCATGATGCACTCAAGATGAAGTTAAAGGAAGTGGACAGGATGCGGTACTTGCGGAAGCGCAACAGCGGGCAGGCCTTCTTAGCGGCGCCATCTAGGTCCGGCACGAGCCAGAAGGAGCATCGGGAGTCGGGCGTCCGGACTGGCTCCTCCAACTGGAGTTCAATCCGGACGGCCGACGCCTGCGTTCCGACGGACACGTACCGCGGGAAGGCGGCGACCCGACGAGCCAGAGCATATCCTGACCCGGTGAATTCGCGACGGTTTGACGATCAGGGCCGAACTGGATCATAGTAGGATTCATCTATGTTTGGAAATCATTTGTTCTAGTATACAAAGTCACGTTGAACAGTGGATCAAACGTTTACTTTAGACGAAGCGTTATATTTTGGCGAAAATAACCTTGACGATGTAACAAAATAATTCGTGATGTAACGAGTCGGTCATAAGTATGACCGGTGTCTACGGCTTAAAACATAACAAAATAATTAATCATCAGGCACGGAATATTTGACTAGTGTTGCGATGGTTGTCGTTATATATTCATATATTAAATCATGAAATTCTCTTTTTCGCTAATATGTCACATTTTGTATATGATAACTCAGAGTATGCTTGGTCCCTAGAACAAAAGAAAGATGGGATTTAAACCAGCTTGATAGTACTCCATACCAACCTTTCTTTAATGTGATAATAACAATTCTTTCCCAGTGAATCAAGTATAATTAATCTTTCACCCAATGTGATGTATCTCAAAGTTTCTTCTGCATGATTATATGATTTACAAGGTATTTTATAGATGTACTATATTTCAAACATGTAACAAAACTTTTACAATATTATTATCATGAGAATTTTAATTTATAAATGGACAGCAGTTGCTATATCTTTGCGAAAGAAATCAGTTCCTAACTTCTATGTGATAGTACATAAAAAAGTTTAAATTATACTTTTTGTCTTTTTGATTGACAATTCGCAACGGTGTGAGATATGTCAGATTTAAACTTATATCTAAGTTGACTAATGATGATCCAAATAATTTGATCAATCTAACGGCGAATACTGTAAAAGGAGAGATGATAGTTATCGCAAATGAATGTATGTAGGAGCATGAAAGTTTTGATTTCCATGAAGTTGTTCTTGAGGTTTGTGCAGGGAGTGATGAAACTAGACGACATAAGTCAACATAGCTGCAAGATGAAGTGCCCATGCAATGATGAGTTTCACTACGAACTTTTAAGAAAAGGACGAGAATTAACCTAGGGAAATTAGAGTGACTGAGTCCATACCAATAATGCACCAATCAGCTTAAACGTTATCAAGATCTAACTGCAGTATTCTCTTTTGAAGTGAACCTTTCCAATGAGGGACATAAACAGAAGTGGACCCAGACTATGCCAGTTGAGCCGCAACCCTCCCTCCTATAACATGCAACGTCAAGAGCATGTACGAAAGCGTGGGACAAACAAAGAGCTATACATTGTATCTGTGATTTGGCATCCAAGCAAGTCTTTTGTCTGGCCCACAAGTTCAAGCAGAATTGAGGTTAAAACTTGGCAAAGGAATGTCGACTACTTTGTCCACACTTCACTGTGGAAATGTGTTTTGTAGCTTGTGTGAATGCAAGATTTCCATGAACAGATGTTACGCTATCGTTGTTTGTATATGCTATATAAAAGGGTTATAATCACGGTATTATAGGAGCTAGCCACCGGTTTAATTTCTTGTCTTCTTTGTAGGGGTGTTGTTATATTTTATCCACTTGGACCCTTTTTCTTTACTAAATAACTTGTATACGCAGTGGACTGAAGAAAACCCGAATTTCAGATGTAGAATCAAGGGTTGACAATACTCCAATAAATTTACTTGAAATAGATGCTGCTTCAAAAGTAATGGAATAGAATAAGTGATTATTCACTTTGAACTTGCTGAGAGTTCCATTGGATGATCAGTTGGCGCCAAGATTTCAAGTAAGTTGTAAGTTATTACAATATTGGTTCAAAATGCACTCACGCACACCTTTCGGAATTGTCGGAACATGGACGACCTTGCCTCTCGCTATCAGTCCACTCTCCGCGTTAAGTCCGCTGGGTCCACTTTATCTACTCTATTTAGCACCTCTACTAGATCGATCTCGGCTGTCTCGACTGGCACTTGGATGCTTCTTGGTAGTGTTGAGGCTAGTACATTGATCTTGAATCATTCTGGCTCGAAATGCCATTGTCTTCCTACAAAACAAGGCTATTCAAACGTTTCGGTAGAGATCGTGGTGGCCCCGAGATTTTAGTTGACTTCATATCGTGAATCCTGGTAGAACGTAAACTCGTGTTCACAAGGTCTGGAGTGGGGAATGTTATTGCATGTTATAACGGAGAGGTACGTACAGCTTGATTTGATTAAATTGGAGTGTAGAAGGACATTCAGGAAGAGTACATTTAGTAGAATTATCCAGAAATTCAAGACATAATTCTAAGGGAGAACAATTTATCGAGGTCTATCGACAAAGCTGAGTTGATTGAAAATGTATCCAGTAAGACAAAGTGTTGGCAACAAATCCTCAAATAGAAGCATAGTACACATTGACTGCATAAATGGATAATGAAAATAAACCTTTTCGGATTGAGTACGTAGAGGCTCTTGGAATGTTGAGGTAAATCACTTAATATTCATTTTTGTTATGTTCACTATATCACCTTGAGCTACAGCAGATGCATGCATAGACCAAAAACTAGCAGGATTTTGGATGTGATAAGTCAATCCAGATTTTGATGATAGAGGATGTTTAAGATGCAGTTCACATGGATCATGTATTTCTCTATTCAAATGGAAAATTATCTCACACTTTAAACACAGAATTAGGGTTTAGGATTTAGGAGTGGGTAGTATACATAGAAATTCTTTGACCTTCGAGAATAAAGAATTTTATCAACAAAATTATCACATCTTCAATTAATGATTCAACAACTAATAATCTAAGTCCAAACTTGATTGAGATTCAATATCATTAGGTTATTTTGGAATTGATTTGAATTTATATATCTTAAAGTACTTGATCATGAGTACTAAGTTATTATTACATGGAGTTATTATCTCTTGAGATTTACAAGAGAATGCATCAAAAATTATTATAGCTCAGTGAAAAAATTTTCATTTCATATCTAGTTGTAATATGTTTTTGAAAAAAACAGATTGTATTGTAGGCAAAATAAAATAATGCATTACCTAATATAAAATTATGTTGGATGATACAAAGTCATCATCCACATCACCTAAAAAGGCATCAACAACAAATTCTCATGTTGTTTCAAATATTATTGTTGTCTTGTCACACAATTATTATGTGAAAAAACATGAGATTAAACATCTTCAAGGGTTTTGATTTGAAATTGAAATTATATATATATATATATATATATTCATGATATTGATAGAAATTCAAGGTAACAAATTTTTTTTTATCTAATTTTTTTTTTCATGAATAAATTTAAGTATTTTTGAATATTTTTGAAATTCTGAAAATTTTAAATCATTTGCTCAAGAAAAATTTGTGAATTGAAGGTCAAAGTTGCAAAGCTAACAGGAAGTCGAGCAAAGTCTCTCAAAATTAAAAGCTCGTATGAATCTAAAATTTAATGTAAAGACTTAAAATTAAACTGAAATTTAAAAAAAAATTATATTTTAAAACTTTCAAATTATTTTGGTCAAAGTTGACTTGGAAATAATCTGCATCTTGAATTTTTGTAATAAGATAGATGATTAGTATAATTTTAATCAAAAACAATGATGATGATAGATTAAAAATTGTTGCTTTAAATTTTCCCAAAATTTATTTATAAAAATTCTCCTATGCAAAGAATTATGATATAAAAAACCTTAAAAAATCAAATTTGGATAATCAATCCAAATTTAAACTATCTTTTTTAGAGAAGTTATGGTAAATAATTTTTTCATACATAATAATATGCATTTATTATAACCTATTATTAATTAAATCTTATGATTTTTTAAAATAATAAAAAATCTATTTCTGAAGTTAAAATAAAATAAAACATCTTGCATGCTCTATATTTAGCTTTAATGATGTTTTAATTTCTATGTGTAGAGTGTGGATAATTTGTTATAATAATAATTAATTAATTTTAACTCAAACTGTATGTAAATTTTTTGGATGTTTTAATACTAAAATACGCATAGTATAATCTCATTTTAAGGTCAAAATTGAAAAGTAAATCTGAGTAGACCACAAAAGTCTTTTAAAACTAATTTTTTTTATAAACAACTTGAAGTAGTGATATAAAATTGAAGATTTAAGATTGATATTGATTTATTTATCACCCATATTGATTTTTCATAAAGACTTATACATGCTGTTCTTTTAAAAGATGAAATTTTTTATTCTTTGAATCAATCAATGTTTTGAAAAAAACATTATAAAGTTATCGTACGCTAAGGTACTTAAGCAATCACTTAGTGGAAAAGGAAGTTATTGAGCGATGACCACAAGGAGGTGGACTTGGAAGCAGACATGCTTTGAAGAAAGCATAATACCTCACTAGTCTGGCTCAATTGCACCAAAAATGTATCGGGGCTCAAGTGATTCACCGCAGCGACGAGACCTTGAAAACATCCTTGCGAAGCTTTTTCAAGTGTCGGTAGCGGAGCATTCTGGAAATCGTTGAAGTTTGCTGATGACAACTCGCCAGCGAGAAGTGCGACCTTCTCCTCAGCCACCGCCCCCTGCTTTTCGGGTTGAAAACAGAGTGGAACACACTGAGAGACAGCTACCGTACAGATACGGGAAATGACCAAAAAGCATAGCGTTTTTCATTTGTGAATCTTTCCTAATTGCACTAAAAAGCATCGTAAATAGCTGCATGACTAGCGTATTGCGTTGTTAAGCGTTTGTGCCAGAAAGTTTTTCGGCGAATAACGGGATTCGAACCCGTGTTTTCAGAGCCACAATCTGCAACTTTAACCCCTAAGTTATATCCGCCCTTATTTATAAACTACTAGAGATATCCAATCTGATTATGATTATGCTGACATGAGTAACGATAAATCATGTGAAAAACATGATAACCGAAAGTTCAACAGTTTATGTGTTCAGTCAACCTATGCAGAGTGAATACATACCTATTTAATGATCAATACATATTTTAATATTCTTTTCACGTTTTTCTATATTGTTATAAATTATCATCCAATTTTTTGATGCGATCTTTTTTGCATCTATGTCTTTGATCATTTTATCTAAATAAATTTAAATTTTTCTTTTTTTATTATCAAATAATTCATCTATATATGTGATCTAATATTTTTATTTAAAATATTATCTTTAATTTCCATAATTGACATTTATTCTTGCATTTACCTTATGAGGATTAAAAAAAACTTGTTGAAGAAATTCTTTTATTATATTTGATATGAAAATTATTTGTTCAATTATAATATGATTACAACAATTGATATCATTAATATGCATATTCTTACTTGATTTCAGATACATGTTTAAGTTATATTTTTGACTTTGAAATCTGACATCGTTTTATGCCATATATATTATTTTTTCAAATCTCATGACTTATTATCAATTGTTGTAAATATGTTAAAAATTTAAAATCTTTAGAAGTGTACCTTAAGTGGATAATTGGGTCATGTAATAATGACATTTTAGATTTTCAAATGTCAAAATTATATTGATCATTGCAGAAATTGATCAAACTCATCTATGAAATAAAGCCTAGAATATTGTATACATGCAAAATATTTTACTTTGATATACAGTATAGCTAATACAGAGTAGACAGTGTAAATGATTTTACAATACAGTTTATCTTACACAAACAATACAAGTGATTTTTTTTTTATTAATTCTGGTTTAATATGAAAAAGATACTGTTTTGATGCTATTTGAATCAATCTTCATCCTTTTCACCAAATATATTAGTTATATTTGATTTTAAATATTTTGATATAGACAAAAATAATATTTTTAATTTTTAATTTTTGTAGTGACATGTGATTCATACAATTTTTTTTATTTCACTAGTTTTTCTTAGTTGATTGAAAAATATAAAATATTTTACATAACAAAAAAATAATACATATAAATATTTTCCAATATAGAATCTCATCATCACTTAAAAAATAAATTTAACAAATATACAATTTTATACAAGAATTCAACAAATTTATGCAGAAAAAAATACAATTAAAATACTTAAAATATGGTTTATTAATCAAACAATAATGAAGTTGTAATAATTATGAATAACGGATTTACATAACATGATCATGTTATACTCCATTGATATTGATTGATCTCAAATTAATACTTGACAACTTCATATAAAGATGATGGTACAATTTTTGACAAGCGTAATGTAAATCTCACAGTAAACTTTTGTCAAAAAGATATTTTGATCGTGATTTTTTTGAAAAATTAAAACATTAGGATTAGTTAAAATATGTATGTAAATAACCAAACATTCAAATTATTTTTTTAGATCTTGATTTTATAAGAATGCATAGATCATACAATTACTTATTGATTATAATGAATCAATCTCAAAAAATTTTATAAAATTTTTTATTTCATATTGTATTATTGTACCTTAATACTTCATATATGATGCATCATTTTTTTTTCAATAGAAAATTGATATTTTATACTTCATTGAAATTACTTTGATATCTTATTTTTAAATTTTGGCTCAAATTTGTGTGATATAATATATTTTTTGATAAAATTTAAAAAATTGAGCTCATCATATAAATACGATATTTATTTATTAAATTTTCAGTTAAAAAAACAACTTCAAAGAAATAATTTGATAGATGTTTATTTTTTTTTGAACTTGAATTCTATTGTTGATGCAAGTTATCTTGTCCTGATATTATGTTTATTTTGAAAAAAATTTTAAATACAAATATTATGAGATAATTAAAAAATAACTAATTCTATCATAAAATGAAAAAATTGAAATATATTTGTTGCTAATATTATATATATAAAAAGATAACATAAAATCATGTTGTTTGATATGTTTTATTGTTAAATCATGATTCATGAAGACAAGATTTAAAACCTTATATCTTCTTCATTTCACATAATCAGGTCTAGAATAGCTTTGAAAAATAGACTTGGAAGATCATTATTCTTTTATTCACACACAAATGACAAAAATATATTGAATAAAAAATACTTTGCACCTTGAGTAAATTTAACAAAGTATGATATGTGGCGAATAATGTCATATCAAGATAAATCCTGCTAACCGCAAGTTCATGCTTATGAATTTTCTTGAACTGGAAAGTTTCAAGTATCTTGCAAAACTAAAGTTTCAATTTGACTAGATCAATCAACTGCTTTATTTTGATATTTTCTTTGACGATAGTTATTACATCAATAAACATTATGAAAAATGATACAAGAAAGTTTGATTGTTTTGTGTTATGAATGATATTGTTAAATTGAAAAATTGAATGGAGAATTCTTTAAATGTTTTATACTATCTTGCTTCTATTGGATCCTCGTTGAAAAGTTATAAACATTTGTATAGAAAAGTTTTGCATAGTCAAATCTTTTCCAAGTGAGGTGGATGATATGTGATTGTGGTTGTGCAACATGGAAATGATAGAATTTCTCTATCACTATCATTCTACTTTGTGTTAAGTATAATATCACTACCAATCATGGCCTCCATCGTGTCAAAAAATCATAGATCCTTTACTGTGTAACGATGAAGGCTTGCAGATATTTTATGATAATTCTCAACTCGTACAAGTCTTATTCTATATCTCAAATCGCATAATAGTATAAATTAATACGCAACATGATGCAAGAAACCACATCATAATATATGTCACTTTTTAGAATAAAAAATACTGGGTAGTTGATGATATTCAAAACAAGTCATGGAATTAATTCAATCAGTTCTATTAGATTTTGTGGTGCTAGGTTTTCATGTCTACACATTCTTGTCGCATACATTCTTGCAATCTTGATGTGATACGAGACAAGGCCTTGAAGCCGAAAATGGTCATAAAGATGCAATATAAAAGTATTTGATATAGAGGGGTCGTCGGATGCAACACCCGATGCTGTCAGAATGTCGGACGAGCCCGAGGGAGTGGGCATGGACGCAGAGAGCAAAAGAGAGTGAGAGAGAGCCGTAAGTCGGGGAACATCCATCCGTCCTGTCCTCTGCTCGTCTCCTGCTTCTGCTCCTCGACCTCTACCTCCTCCTCCAGGTACGAGCGGTTCTGCCGGTCAACTTTCTCCAATTGTGTCCGATCCTTGAAGGCGAGGCCAGCGAAGGCGGACGGAGGGGGAAAGAAAGAGTTGAGGAGTGTCAGTCGTCGTTGGAGTGGCATGCGTGAGCAGAAGGAGCACAAGCAAAAAAAGTGGTGATCCGAGGAGCATGTTCCGGTGGAAAACTATGTACTTGGTGAGAGCAGGAGACCGATGGGTTGATCGAATGATTGCATGCTTGTTGCACATTGCGTGAAGGAGGGATGGAGCGACACGGAAAGGGTGTGTTCAGGAGACGGTGATGCGTGCATTGAGAAGGGCTTGAATATGTTTGGTATGCTCGAAGCAGATGAATCACGAGGAAAGGGAAAAGGAAAAGGAGGAGGTCAGGGTAGCTGAGGGCTGATAGCCTACAGTAATCGGGGCTGCAATTGCTGAAGCGGAAATTGCGTCCACATTATTTTCCGTGATGGTGAGGGAATTTGAGCGACTGATGAAGGAGATATGCGCGATGAGCAGTGACTTTTCAATCGCGTGAAGTCGCCTTTCAGGCTTCAGTGTTGTGGTTTTTTCGAGTTTTTATTTTTGTGGGTGTTCAGTAGTTTCCCCTTCTCTCGTGCCATCTTGTAATTTTCCTTTCCGTCCACATTTGTATCTGTTAGCATGTATGGGCTCCCGAATCATTCCCCCTGACATCGCAGCTTCTTTTAACCTCCACCCCTATATTCTGCGATCTCTCCAGTGCAAGGAGTGAAGCTCAGGAGGCTCCTAAAGCTGGTGCATTTCCTCCTCACATGACTCTTAGCTTTGATAAGGCACAATGAATTTTCCATTTTTGAGAAATTCTGCCCAAGTCAATCCAGTTACAGCGGATGCATCATCTGGGCCGGATGCCGAGAGAGATTACAGGATAGAGCATTCGCAATCCTTTCTCAGTACGCAGTATCCATCAGGAGGGGACATGGGAGGAGGTGATGAAAATAAAGGAGCTGGAGAGTTTGGGAGTATTTGGACCAGGATGGCAATCGAGGATCATTCTGATTTTCCTCCGGAGGAAGGCTCCATTCTAGTGCCATTCAGTAGGTGTTTTTCTCCTTCTGACCTCTGCTGCAAAAATATCAGGCTTAGACTCGCACTTCAATGCTGTGCATCGTTTCATTCATATCCATTCAAGGGTTTTCTTCTGTGGATAGACAATTTGCTGCTTAAGCAACCACACCTCCTCGAGTAATTGTTGGATTGTTTCTGGTACAGGGGATCTTCCTGAAAATTGGGCTTCAGCTCCGGACATGGCATCGCTCAGCTTCTTAGACCGTGACTTCATTTTTCCTGGTATTGTTGTTGGCTGGAATTTCATTCTGTCCTGCTTTTGTTGTTGGCTGGGAATTCATCCTGCATGTCAAGTCTCATGTGTTGTGACACATAACGCTTAGTTATTACCTTGAGTTAGATGGTTTAGGGTCAGTGAGAATTCAAATGCAATTCTTTTGGTAAGAGATGCTGTGGTAGATGGCTTCTCAATGTAAGAAACAAATGAGCAAAAATGTTTTCTCTGTACGTTTCTTATGTTGTGGATACTAGTAATCATTATACTTGGAATACCGCAAGAGTGGCATGACACTGCATTCTGTGGAATGTATCCAGGTGAGCAGTTCCACATTTTGGTACATGTTACCACTCAAGATAGCCCGGGTACAGAAAGATTAACTCCTTTCAAAGTAGCTGCCGCTATGAACAAGGTAGCAGCCTTGAAAGCCAAACAAGGTCCCACTGAAACATCTATATCGACTGGTGAAAACAGTACCGCCGATGCCTCAGAAGGTGTCGAGAAGGATAATGTAGATGGCGTCAACGATGCGGAGGGTGAGACCGAATCAGAAACAAAAGTGGATAGTCCAAAAGTACCACGGACCAAGACTGAAGATACCAAAATCGATGATAATTCTGAGACCGAAGGAGGTTTGAAACGAAAGAGTCTGATGTTGCTGGAGAGCTTTCGAAAATCGCATTTCTACGTTCGCATCATGAGCGGCCAGGATGAGCTACCGTTGGGAAAAAAGAAGACGGTTCCTGAAGGCAGTCTTTCTGTTTCGATCAGCACGAAAGGTGTTGAAGAGCAGAACAAGAGGGGAACTTCGGGCGGAACTCCAGTCGTAATGGAACGAGGAAAATTTAATCCTCATACGGCTGGTGGTGTAGCTAGAAATGCAGTTACTTGCACCCCACTTGCAAATGGAGATATTGTGGTAGGCTTCATATAGTCTTGTAGCATCATATGACCTCGTGGATTGTGAAGTCTAAAGAATTCCGTAGGTCTGAATCAAAAATCCGATTTATCGACTCCTAGGTCTAGGAAGCCAAGTTGTAGTCTAGAGAGATAGCATGTTTTTATGGTTTTTATCATGTGTGCATTTTCTCTGAGCTGGCATAGATAATACATACTTGTTACTAGTGTCTAATTCACGGTAAAGAGTTTGATTTGTTTCCAATATATAATATCTCCTTAGATCTTCATGGATCGCTGATTGATAATCGGCAGCGTGCAGGTGTTGCTCCAAATCTCTATGGTGGCCGATTTCATCTCCGATGATACCTTTCTAGAAGTACTTCAGTTTGAAAAGTATGAACCGCCTGCGTTCACAACAACCGAATATGGGCATCCTCCGTTTAGGAGAGGTGGATGGGATCCAACTCAGGGCTTGCTACAGTGGCTCCTACCTTTAGATCGGCCTTCTTCTCCACCGCCTCCTGCTATTGTAAACTCCATACAAAATTCTCCTACTAAGCTGGCCATGAGTGGTGGAGGCAACTCTACGATTTTCTCTTTTAGTCACCTGAGATCATCCTCATCTGGTCAAATGGCCCCACCTGTAACAACACCAATCCTGCCTGTTTCCATGCCAACATACACTCCACCAACATACGGAGCAAAAGAATGGGATTCAGCCTTTCAAGACAGGAGCACAAAAACAGAAGTTGGCAGTGAAGGTCTTCTGTCTTTCAGGGGAGCTGTTCTTGAACCCCAGCGGTTTTCAGCACATTGCGGTCTAGAAGGTCCTCATGTCCCTGGGAAAAAATGGAGGAGAAAGCTATCCATCCTGCAGCCAATCAAACTCGACTCTTACTTTGCACACTGCAATACCCAGGACTTAATCTGTGTTCTTGTGGAGGTGTGTTTTCTTCTTTACAAACCTTCAAACACAGACAAGAGTGGGAAATGACAAGCTTAAGTATGGAAGACTTTCAAAAAGAACCTCCAATATGTTCAGTTCGTCTACGTTAAGTGTCAATAGGTTAATCTTGACTCATGCTGTTGACTATTCTTATATAGTAGTTAGGAATGCATTGTTGTTCCCGTTGGAAGGAGGTACGAAAGAGGCACAAAGTAACTTGAGATTGAAATACCACGAAGAATTAGAGAATTGGTTCCCCTGTTCTGTTCTATTATAACGTTATTGCATTGCATCTTACTGTTCAAAGGTTGTTGTTAACGCCTCCAGGCTTATACATTGTTACTTTCTCCCTGCTTACGGTTATGTGGTATTGTATGTTGGATTGTTACAGAATGTCCTACCAGCAACAGGGAAAACAGCGGATGTTGTAATCTACGTGGATTCTGTTAATATTGTTTGTCAATCAGCGGCTCCAGGAAGTCCACCTCTACCAGTCCCCATTGCTTGTGTGGAAGTCGGAAACGATCAACAGTTACCCGGTCTCGCACTAAGGTTTGTGTAGGTTTATCATAATTCCTAGAAGTCAGAATTCTGAATGTGTTCAGAAGATGGGGTTGAGATTGATCATGTTCAGAAGCAATAGCAGATGATTCTTAGATAAGAGCCAGAGGTTTCAATGGGTAATCTCGAAGTATTTTGAGATTCGTCCAGTGGATTGGTATGCGGTTTGGACCCAATGCATTGATGGTTACTTCTTTACAATAGTACGAAAGTACCAAAGAGTATTCATTTTGTCAATCTTATTACAAGAATTGTTCTGAATTTGTGGTCTTATCCATAATTTCTTGCAGAGTCGGCGAACAACATTCGTTTATTTTGAGACCAACAAGTCCTGCATGGAAGCCATCCACTCCTTACGGGGGCAAGTACAACTCATCTGATTCTAATGCTGGACATGAGATGCAACTATCAAATGGATCATCTTTTGGGAGAAATAAAACTCAGAAGGATTTACCATCATCGTTGCCTGAAGGTGGACAATATGCAGTTATTGTATCCTGTCACTGTAGCCACACTGGTACATAATCACATCTTTCCTTGCTCACTTAGCGTCTCTCCTGTATACTTCGAGGTCCTCTTCAGCCAATAAGCTTGTTATTAAGCGGTTGAACGTTTATGATGAGGAGTGCACCAGAACAGGATTGTTTCTGAATGTATCGTCTTGCGTCTGTCAAATAATGTTGACGTGGAATAATGTGGTAGACACATGCCAGTTCCAAGATCGATGGAATCATAAACATATCCGATGTTGCCTTTTTCTTTACAGAATCTCGGTTACATTACAAACATTCACTTCAGTGGAGACCACGACCACCAAGAGATTTGTTGTTATCCGTTTCTTTGGGAAGTTCAACATCGGAAATATCTACAAATGACAACCAGCCATTATTCAAACCACAGGTCATTTCCTGTTTTGCTAAGAACATCATACTTTAGAAGCTGAAGTTTCTTGTTCTTGTTCATTCCTCCTGATATTTTGCAATGTCGTGTTTGTTCAGGTCGTGACAGTGCAGGCTACAAATCTTACTTCTCAAGATATGAATCTTACACTTCTTGCTCCAAGCTCTTTGGCGAACTCGCCATTGTCGATGGTGTCATTTCCTGCTCCAATGATAGACTCTCCTATAGCCTCAAATTTCAACAAGCAAAAGTCTTTCATGGTGCTGGGTAATAATGATGAGAAAGAGAAAGAAAACACATCACCAGAGAGCCCAGACCTAAGTATGGACCTACCTCCGGTGCGACGAATGGAGAGTGTAATCGGAATGAATCCCACTCTGTTGTTCAGAGAGCGCATCGTTTCTGCAGCAGATATTGTGGCTGACAACAGTCCTGCTCGTACACATCTATGGTTACAAAGCACAGTTCCACTGGGGTAATGCATCTCGTTCAACACCTCCTGCTTATGGTTGACTGTGTTCGGATCAGGTTTTCTTATGACGTGGAACTGACAATTGGAGAGGTGGATTTTTGACAGATGTGTACCAGCCCATTCCACAACTGCTGTAAAGTGTGACATACTCCCTCTAACGGATGGAATCATTACTCTGGACACTCTTCACATATCTACGAATGATCACGGTAGATATTCATATCATCTCCTATTGTTGAACTTATTTGAGCACGAATGTTCAACAGCTGCGTCTTAATTTCAACGTGTCTTTTATCATTGTGCGCAGATGCCCTTTATATTCCTGAAAGTCCCCTGCAGATCTATGCAACGTCAAGTATTGCAACCGGAGTTGCGTAGGTGTCTTTCATCACCTGTTCAACCACAGCACGGTATGGACGTTGTGAAATGAAAATTTTCAGTATTAGGATCCTACCTTCTTTTCTTTTTGTATGGAATATGTGTATCTCTCATATTGAGCCGCTAGAATTATTGTCACTTTTTCCAATCAAAAAGAGTAAAGAGTTCAAAGTAATCTCACATGCGTCTGGATACTTAATTTGATATGGAATAAATGAATGGACTAGCAAATGACAGTACTGTACTGTAGTCGTGCATTCTAAGTGGAAGAGGGCCGATTGATAGCAGATAGAGTGAGCTAATTCCTGACAAATGGAATGACTATAATATTCCCTTCTAGGAGTCTTATCTACTACTATTTGAGAATCTTCTGGGTCCAAACTTTTACAACTTTCTGGAGCACCGCTCAAAGTCATAGTTGTTGTATAACCAGCGCATATTTGGGAGATCTGTTGATCATTTGTTCGCATCAACCGGCAGAGTATACAGTTTATCATACATACATATGAGAAGTGTAATAACTCCTTTGATCTCAAATTTATATTAAAATAGAAAGAGTACGGGTAAACCATTCTATAATACAAAAATTTTAGGCTTTTGCAACAACCGTCTTGCAAAGAATGATAATGAATTTACAGTTCACTCAATCTTACCTATTTTTTCATAATTATAATGAAGAGCTTTTTATTACTGACATATATCTGATTGCAATTAACGAGGGAATATTGAAAAAACTTTCAAAATTTGTGGAATATCTACAGAATTATCCGAGTCCAGTAAAAAGTTCATGACCTTGTAGGTTCAAATGTTAATGTGATGCTTTTTGATGTAAACGTGGCTGAAACTGTTCAATTTTAGAATCAAAGCAATGTAAATACACTTTTCACCGTAAATTTTTAGTCTTTCTAAGTAAAATTAAAATCTGAACTGGCGCAAGGAGGGGGAGGAAATGGTTCCCCTTAATTGTAAGGAATGGGTCCAAATGTATTTGAAAAGTTACGGGAAATTTCAATCAAGTTGGATAAGGAAATAAACAAACAGAAAAGTAGGGACTAACCTCGATAGTTTTGTGATGAGATAAATGTATAACGAGAAGTATACCATATTAAAAGTATCCAGATGAACAGAGTCAAGACTACACTTTTCTCTAAAGACTCCTTCGTTAGCGAATTAGCTGTAAATACTAAATTCACACATTAATACTCATTAATGTCTCGGCGAATCTATTTGGCACAAAACTGTCTTTACGTTAATGCGAAACAAACCTGAAAAAATAGACCTCGATAACCCGAGTAAACCTAATAAAATAGTTGAGAAAATTAATGCAAAACCAGCAAACGTCACACTTTGCAAAACTTTAGAATAAAGGCAGTGTGTTCTGAAACCTCACAAAATCTTATAAATCGCTGTCGCGCCAATCACCGCCTTCCGTTGCATCTTCAGAGGCTGCAGCAATTAATCAAACACCAATGTGTCGCCTATATGAGCAACCAGCTTCTATTTTGCAGGATTGACACATAAACTGACTGCATGGAATGCATACACCTGTAGCCCTCATTTACATGCCGAAGCTTTGGAACGATTTCTACTTCGTTATCTTGAGCAAATCTCCAGAACCTACTTCATTTTGATCTTCTCTACTCCAAAGCGGTAGATTCCATCGGTGGAGAGCAACAACTGCTGTTGTTGCTTGGTGAAGGCAGCTTGTTGGAAGTAGCAATCTTGACAGGCCTCTATAAATTGCGATTGAGAGTTTATGTATATAATGTCTATCTTGCGAACAGATCTCAATTTTCCTGCTATTCCAATTCTTGCACTTTGCACTTGAAGATTTTGAGTACTCCATTTTACAACCCTTATGCCACAGCAGTTGAAACCGTCGCGAGAGTTGATTAATCCATCAAAGAAGTACGATGGGATGTTCTTGGGCATTGTTGGTTCAAATCTTTCTGAAATCCAATTCATATCCGTGCAGAAATCCATTTATTGAACTCATTCATTTTCTTATACTTCAATGACAGAATACAATATGTGATAACCAATGTCTTTGAAGTACTGAAAATATACGTCAATTGATACCTAGGTTGGCTTACTAGGTGGGCTTTTGAGGTTATATTGTTGACTTGAAGAGAAATAGACTCCAAATAAGCCACTTTTGACCCTTACTGCTTTACACCAGGGTTTCTATTTTTGAAATTTGTTTTTTCCTGAAGGTTAATAGTATCAAACTGAATTGTCGTCCACACTTGACTTGACTTGTGTCAATTCAAATTCAAGGGTGTTTGTCTCGACTCGTATGATATTGCGATATGTGTAGGTGTATAACTCGTAGATACATTCTTTCCACTACGTCGTTCTTTGTCATTACAGATCCTCTAGCCCGAAATGGCTTAAAAGTTCCCACAAACTTCTTTGCCTCTCCGTAAGAAGGGCCCTGTGGACTCAAAATGGTAGTAATAATCATATACGGCCTCCTCCTCCTCGCACTCGATGGGGCTTTATGATCTGACTGATCTGTCACCCACACATTTTTGTCCAAAGCTTTGTTGATATTTTTCTTCATATCATAGTCACCTACAGCCTGCATTTGCGACCCAGCAACTTTGAGAACATCTTATTCATCCACACTTTGGAATTATTTGTTGGAAAACTAAATGAAACTACAAGTAAACTTGAGTCGATATATATATATGATTATTATTGAAATCAGATGTTTTAAGGTACAATTTCTCGTAGTTTCAGATTCTGAGTTAAAGACTTTTAGGTTTGAATGCGTTAAAGTATAATAAGCCTAACAAAGGAGAGACAATCTGATTTGAAAACTTCAGATTTAACAAACCTGAATTAGATCCCTAGACATCATCAACGTGTAGGCTAATACAATGGATGCTCAAAACATGAACTTTACTTTCAAAGACTGCGTTCTCTCTAGAAGAGACATACACTCCTCGCGTCACCTTCACGTCCAGGTGCCAGTCAGGAGTAAAGTGTTATGGCCTGCTGGCAGTTTTTCCACTAGAATAAGTTTCATCTCATTTCCAATCAAGTAGCAGAATGGCCTGCTGACAAAGAGATATTAGTTGCTACAGCAAGCGATACACTTGATTTCATTTCTGATGGGTGGCGACCACATGCAACTGCCTCTTACTTTGCATCATTTCTACCAGGTAGCCATCATTATATTGATGGGTACCTGGTTCCATCAATATACTGATGGAACCAGCTGCTGACTAACACCCAGACAAATATTCTGCTTGTACTGTCAGCCATCATCGTAACGCTTAATCCCACATCTCTGGCAATTACCGGGTCTTAGCTCATCGACGCAGTAAAAACATGAATACTAGTTAATTTGCAGACTGGCCCGCTCACAAATATGCCTCAGTGGCCAGAGCAAACGCCTGTTGATATAGCACTTCCTCCAGTGAAGTAGCAAATTCCGGGCTCGATTTCTCAGCGTCGCAGTCGCTCTATGTGAGGCCTTTGCATTGTGCAGAGCCAGCCCAGCTCTACGAGTCCGCTAAGACGGCAGTGTTGACAGCATTAGGGGCGCGAGGAGGAGCTTCATGTTGGAGACATTGGCACGTGCAGGCTTTTGATGAGGATCGATAGCGATGGAGCATGGGATAATGGACAGAGGTGAGAACGAAGAATCAGCTGATTGATAAGGGATCGGAAGCGACTATCAGAATCACAATTCTTATAAAACATGAAGAATCACAAGAAGATAAGGTCCTAATGAATACACTGAACACAAACTATATAATGAAGAACGACGAGTTGATCGTAAATCACCACGAATGTCGAATGATCATGCTTGTGAGGTAACTGCATCAATAAGAATGAGAAGTAGTTACTTCTTCTCCTTCATTTACAGCGAGGAGACGAGACCTCAGAATATCTACTTATATCTACCTCAGAATATCTATCTACTACAGTCCTGGATTATTTGTTCTTGTGACGTGTAGGGCCTGGATGTTCGTGAAAATCATGATGGGAAGAATCCCATTATGGTCGTACACATTTAGAACTGTCGTTGAGGATGAATGTAATCGCAGTTCATTCACTTACCTGTCGGATTGGATTTAGCAGGAGGCTGGCACACAGCCGACAGCTTAAAAGACTCGTGTACCTTTCCAGATGGCCTTTCGATTTGTAAGTAAAGTGCACATGGAACGAATAATTGGACTCTGTTGGGTCTAATCAAATACAACCTGTAGTTGCCGCTAAAATGTAGCGGCAACTACAGGTATTTATTGGCTAAATACAAAGTAGCGTCGCAATCATTAAACCAGTGAAATAAATTAATCTTAATGAAGACATATCATTATCAATGTGACTATCAATTCAGAGATCAAAAGAACTGCAATATAGAGCTCCAGTGGTGTTGAATCCAATTTTTATGTTATGTGAAATAAAAACTAGAGGTTGGTCAATCAATATCATTGATAATTTTTAATTATTTTCTTATTGATATAATTTCATCTCGACATCGTGTTTGTTCATGTAATGTTTTGAAGTGTTCATGGATGTTACCAATATTGATGTTCAAATTGTGAATCACTTTAATGATCCATATTTATTATATGTATACATTGCATGTATATTTCTGGTGATGATGTTGTACTTAGACATTGTGATGACTGAAATCGTTTTTCACTATTGACGAGAAGTAAACGTCAGCTCCTGCAAACGGATGAATGATCGCCCCATCGGCCACATCAATCTACGAATCCGGAAACAATTGATGGGCTAATATGAACTTAGTAGACTCGGTGACATGCCAACACTCATTTCATGCAGCTTGATGTATCTACAGCACATGCATTATCACGTAATGGAACGGGTTTTTCTCTGGGAAGGGACGACGATTCACAGACATATCACACGCGACAAATGAAATTTTAGAAGGATAGGTTAACCCCCACCTCATTCAAGGAAGAAGCATGGTGGAAATTACGTTGAGGATCAAGTCCAGCGAAAACTGCAGGTCTGCTATAGTTTCTCGTTAGTCTACTGTCATAATGAGAATCCTAGTCAGAATCTATTTGGAGTTGCAACTGTCCCATATCTTTGTGTTCTATATCTTAGGACCTTGATGTGTAAGCTTAGTGAGAATCCACCCAGGACCAGAAATGTTTTCACATGATAAAAACTCTTTCGTTGACTGCAACAATTTGGTAGAGACCGTGACAAGTTCAGAACACGGAATCGGTAAAAGAAAAGTCTTACAGGACACAAGGGCCCGTTCCCAATCTCCATAGATTGTAAAAGTGGTAGTCAAGACAACAATCTCACTCATAGTCTAAATACAAGCAGTGAGCTTAATGGCTCTGCTACACTTGTTTTCGTATATAGTGAGTGGTGACCACATACTTGCATCTTATCTGGTTAACTTTCGACCAGGGCCCGATCAACAAGATGACATAACCGGTTCCTATGTACACCCAGTAACATAATCCGCCTTGAATTGGCAACCATCATCGTACGTCTTGATCCCACATTTCTGGCAATTTCGGCTTCTCAGCTCATCGAACGCAGTGATCATCTCATCTCCAGTCAAATCGCAGAGATCCCCGCTCACAAACAGGCCGCAGTGGCCAGAGCAAACGCCTGTCGATGTAGCACTTCCTCCAGTGAAGTAGCGATTTCCGGGCACGATCGCACGTCTCGCAGCATCGCAGTCGCTCTGTGCAAGGTTTTTGCACAGTGAGGAGCCAGCGCAACTATAAGAGTCCGTTGAGACGGCCGTGTTGACAGCAGCAAGGCCGAGGAGAGCGAGGAGAATGAGCTTCATGTTGGAGATAGTAGCACAGGCAAGCTTCAGTTGTAGATCGCAGCGACGGAACCTGGGAAAATGGACAGAGGTGAGAATTGAAAACTTGAGTGAATGACAGCGGATCGGAAGCGGCTAACTGAATTACAATACTTTGCGAACATGAGCGGGCCAGAATCACAAGAAGTTAAGTTCCAGATCAATACACTGAACAAATCTAGAGAATGAAGTATTACGGGTTGATTGTAAATCACCTCGAATTTCGATTGAGCCAGCTTGTGAGGCAACTGCACGAATAAGAATGAGAAATGGGTTGTTCTCATCCTTCATTTATAGTTAAGAGACGAGACTTCATAAAATGCTTTTCAAGTCGTGGGATAGTTTTTTTGTGACGTGTAAAAGTTTTAAATTGTCGTTGCGAATGAAAGTCATCGCAGTTCTTCCGCCTATCTCTCGGACTGACAATGTCAGAAGGCTCGCAAACAGCCGCCGTGTGGAACCTTGAAAGCCTCGTCTACCTTTGAAAGCCTCGCCCTGCCAAAGGCGGTATTATACAAGCTTCCGGGCTAGATCTGTGTTTGGCAATTTAGATCCGTAGGAAGTGTGCCTGGACTCATGTTGATGAAATTTCCAATACTTGGAGATGCAGGAGAGATCCTAACCACATCAGGAATGGAAGTTCTTATTAATTCCACCCGATATTCTGCTTAAGGCTTCTAACCACGCAGGTACTGGTCCGCTCAACTGAGTCATCGGTACGTCCACAACTGATGTAGCTAGGGGATGAGAGCGATGGAATGGCTGACTTTGTCGCATTCAGAGCTTGAAATGTATTGTTAACGATCTTGTAACAAAGCAACACTTTCGAGAATAAAGTCATATTACAGATGTTAGCTTATGGTTTTTTGAACTTTTGTAAGAAATTAGAGGTTTGTTAATTTTCTTTGATAAATCATTGTTAATAATTTATTTAGCTTATTTGGACGATTCCAAAATATATTGTCCCAGTTGAAGATATATAGATAAAAAGTTGTTTGGATTGATAGCACTTGTGTGATATGAACAGACAATTCTTGGTTCTTACTAGTAAAATTGAGTATTCATAACCGTGGTGGGTGCAAATGTATGACTTTGTACCCCTCTGCCACATGAACCTCGTACACCGGAATTAAGTATTGGTATAATATTAACTTATTGTTGTGACCTACATACCAACATTCACTCCATAAATTGGTCTAATATAGACGTAATGTAATGACTTCACAAACTAATATTCAGTCCATCTAACCTCTAAGTTTGTGCTATGTTTACTCTGGATGGACATAAGTCACATAAATATCACATGTGACTGATGAAAGCGTAAGGAAGTGTTAAGCAAAGGAATAAGCATGGTGGAAATTACGATTTGTATTGTTTTGGTCGCTCTGTGCGAGGCTCTGCACCGGAGCCAGTGCAGCAATAAAAGTAAGCTCCGACGGCCGTGTTGACAGCATCAAGCGCGAGAAGAAGCAGCTTCATGTCGGAGACAGCGGCACAAGCAACCTTCAGTTGTGGATTGCAGCAAGGTACATGGGAGAATGAACAGAGGTGAGAACTGACAGTTCAACTGAATGATATTCGATCGGAGGCGACTGTATGATCTTAGAGAACATGAATACAAACTAGAGAATGAACTATGATGAGTCGATCGTAAATCTCCTCGTATGTCGACGGAGCCAGCTTGTGAGCTCTGGCAGAAAGGATACACGGCTTAGTTACAAGATTTATTGAAGTGCGGCTTAAGCTTAGGCTTAACCTGGATAAGACCTTACCAATAAGAATAAGAATGAGAAGAAGTTTGTTACTCTCCATTTTTCTCTATCAGACCAGACCTCGAAGTCTCCTTTTAAGCCGTAGGAAATGCTTTTTCGTTACCTGTAGACACCGGATTTTTTTAGCGATATCGTATTCTTCACTTTATGCTCGAAAAACATTCCAATTGTCTCTGCGAAGACAGCAACATTCAGTTCATTCACCGCTCAGACTCGATTGGCACGAGGCTGGCACACAGCCGACTAATCGAACCTCGAAAGTCTCATCTACCTGTTGAAATGGGCGTTAGATCTGTAACGGACGTACATTGATTTGTTCCATGCGCAGCTTCCTCGTGGAAGCTGCACATAGAACAAATCAATGGAATCTGTTGGATCCACCCTCTCAAAAACTGCAGTTGGCGCTTCAAACGCCGTTCTTCTGGGCTAGATCTGTGAGTGGGCAACGAGGCAAGCGCATGGCAGCTGCAATTTCCATGTTCTCGAGAGGGAGGACGAAATGAATGGGGACCGAGAGCTTTATCTTATCGACACTCTTCGAGCGCGAGTGGTACGAAATTGACTTTTAAACTCAGACGCTGGTTCTCGTGTACAGGCAGATGATAAATATGAGGGACTATTGTTTTCTTTCAGTGAGACCTTCTCGATCTGACCTCCAGATGGGTTCTGAACCTCAATAAGTGAATAGTTATTTTCAAATATACGTTTATTTGTTCAATTGTTTATGCGTACTCGATGGTGGATCTGATACGTTTTCAATACGTACCTTGGTCTACCCGCTCGAATAAGTATTAAAGTCTATCTCGAGAGCTTCATCGGAAATCATGATGTGCAATATCTCAGGTACTTTCAAACTCACATAATATTTCGAAGATTCCCAGCTCGAATGCTGATTTGACCTTTTCGGTCTCAAAAGCAGCCTAGCATATGAGACTACCCCGATTTTCAGCAAAAGTTTCTTCGTGCTGACAACCAGACAGATTGTCTGTCAGCTTCTCCTTTGTACTGTCGTAGTGCGTGGTATATCGTGTCCATGAAGTACGTTTTCCTCATCAGGTGCTTGGAAACAATATCCTGCTGGCGGCAAAGTTGGAGTGAAAGCATTCTATTTCATTAGGCTTTCGATAACTAGTATACATCAGTTCAGAGCTTTTTTTGAAATTTTCGGATTTGACTCATGGCCTGTGATATAGGAGGTGGAAATTCATACATTACGAAGTGTTCTTATTTTGTCACTAGTTCTCATGACGATCTCGTTCAGAAAATTGGACATCACTGTGATCACGAATGTTTTCATTTCATATTCATTGTTTGTTGACGGAAGTAACAACTTCCTATATTCCATTGTTCAAGAGGGAGAAACTCCAAATACTGGTTTAAATTTCAGGCTTGTCCTTCCTTTTCTTTCAGACAGGACATTTGGCGCTGCTGCAGCTCCGCAACGGAACAGGTAGTTGAAATGGCTGCTTCTTTTGTATTTCGATGGCGTTAATCAAGTTTCCCTGACTTCAAGGTGCATTTGTGTGGTAACCCACTTTTTGCTTTTGCTTTTGTGGTAACACTGAATGTCTTACCACCCGTTCGTCTTACCCAGTGAACGCACTAGAGTGGGCACCTCAGTACTATGGGGAAAACCCTCAGTATTATGGCGAGGCGAGCGAAGATGCAGCCTACGCCATCCAGTCGGCCCCCGCTACTACCCCGATCCAGCCAGTGCATATACCCCGGTTCCATCCGAGAGATATGGCTACTACGCTACCCCAGAGGCGCATGGCACCTCCCGGGACGTATAACCAACAGCCTGTTTCAATTGTGGGGAAGTGGGACACTACTCTCCCTAGTGCCCCCACCCAAAAAGACAGACAGGGTATGTTCCAAGCTGCAGCAAGTGCAAGAAGTCTGGACATACGTCAGTGGAATGTGATCAACCCCCAGCAAACCGACCTACTGTGCGATTTGTGACGCCTCCTTCCAAGGAAGACGTACATGTCAATCAGGTCGATGCGAGTTCGGACAAGAATGACGAGGAAGAGGAGTGGCCTGAAGAAGAAGTTATGTGCGGACGGGTGGAAATCCGCAGCTCGAAGAGATCGAAAGACGACGAAAGAGATAATCGTAGGCACAGTCGCAAGGCTGATGACCGAAAAGGGAAGGGAGAATAGAAATCAAGTAGCAGGGCTGACTTGAGGCCTGCGCGAAGGCCTTCGGCTATGCGCAAAACGCCTTCGGCGCGGCCTGATACAAGGACCGAAGATGAACAAGTACGTGTGTTGAGGCGGGAGTACACCCCAGACATCAAGGATGAAGTTGCTGAACTGTTGAAGGAAGCAATTCGCACCCGAACGGAGATGGAAGGACGGAACATTCCGACGCCCTCTGTCGCTCGGACGTCTACATTCTCGGAACACCGTAAGCCGTCGGTGTCAAGCCGACACGCCCACTACGACGTAGTAGAAAATATCGGAAATCAACGGGCTAACATCACGTTCAACTAGCTCCTCGACGATAACAAGACGTATCGAAAGATGCTGATGCTTTCGCTACGCCGACCACGGAAAACCCGTGCGGTCAAACTTCCCCAAGTATACCATGTAACCAGTGAAGACCTGGGACCTCCCGAGATCGATGTGGAGATTGGCGGGTGCTATGTTTGCAAGGTACCGGTAGACTCAGGGTCAGGAGTTAACATAATGACGGAGGATACCGCGCGTGCCTTAGTGTTTAGTGTTTTTGAACCTACAACACGAGTGTTGAGATTGGCGGATCAAACGCGGAGGATACCTCTGGGTATGCTGCGCAATATCAGAACCAACATCGGAGGTGCGGACTTTCAATTGACCTATATCATTCTGCAGCCTTTGATGAAGCGAGGATATGACATCCTGCTCGGGCGACCATGGTTATATGGTGCGCAAGTGCGATGTGACTGGCGTAGGCATCGCCTACGGTTTCTCGACCCCAAATATCCTTCAAGGACCATCACCGTCCCTTGGACCAAGATCCCTCATGAAGGGGAGACGCCGTCGACAAGCGCAGGTTACACTTCGGGAGCGGAGAGTGATTCGTCGCTTCCGTCAGACTTCGACTGGACCCCCGACTTTGTGGGATTTGTCGCTTGCTGCTCTGTAGAAGAAGAGCTGGACGCTATTTAGCCGGACGATGAATAGCAATTAACAGTGGGATTGGGAAGAAGCGAAACGAGTCACACGGAGGGCATTGTGAATCCTAGTGACTGTCGTGAAGTGCAACTAAGTCCTGATAAGAGCTTGAAGGTATCAAGCACGGTGACGGGAGAAGAGCTAAGGGAGGTACAGGCCTTCCTTCGCCACTACGTAGATGTCTTCGCCTGGAGAATAGAGGACATGAAAGGAATACCTGCACGGTATGGAGAACACCGGATTGATTTATTGGAGGAAGCAGTTCCAATTCGTCAACGCCAGTACCGGCTCAACCCCAAATACTCCTTGCTGGTTAAGGAGGAAATCGATAAGTACCTTAGCGCAGGTATCATATACCCAGTTCTCAGTAGTGAATGGGTATCCTCGATTGTCATCGTACCAAAGAAGTTGACAGGTAAGATAAGGGTGTGCCAAGACTTCAGAAAGTTGAACGCGGCAACGCGTAA